TTTTTTAATTTCTTTATTGATTAAGGTATTACATGTGTCCTCATCCCTCCATTAACCCCTCCCCCCAACTCATGTCCTCACCACCCCTGGTGTTCATGTCCATTGATGAGGCTTATATGCATGCATACAAGTCCTTTGGTTGATCTCCTTTCGCTCACCCTCTCCTAGTTCCCCTCTGAGGTCTGTCAGTCTGATTGATGCTTCTCTGCCTCTGGATCTGTCCCTGTTCATCAATTTTCTGATTAGTCTTTGTTTTTTTGTTAATCCACACTGGGGATATTTTTTTCCATTGATTTTTTTACAGAGAGTGGAAGGGAGGAGTAAAGACAGAGAAACAGTGATGTGAGAAAGACACAGTGATTGGTTGCTTCCCACACAGGCCCCAATCAGGGCCTGGAATAAGTCTGCAGCCAAGCTCTGTGCCCTTGTTTGGAATGGAACCCACGACTCCAGTCCATGGGCCGTGTCTTTATTTTAAAGTCTGTCTGATGTAAGTATGCTTTCTTTGTCTTTCGTTTACATGGAATATCTTTTTCTATCCCTTCACTTTCAGTCTGTATGTATCCTTACATCTGAAGTGAGTCTCTTATAAGAAGCAATCATATAGATGGGTCTTTTTATTTTAATCCATTCAGCCACTCTCTTTTAATTGGGAATTCAGTCCATGTGAAGTAATTATTGATAGGTACATACTTATTGCCATTTTATTGTTTTCTGACTGTCTTCTAGTACCCCTCTGTTCCTTTCTTCTCTTGTGCTCTTCCTCTGTGGTTTGACGACTTTTTGTAGCGAGGTATGTTTAGAGTCCTTTATCTTTCGTGGATATCTTGTAGGTTTTTGCTTTGTGATTACCTTGAGGCTTACATATATAACAACTTATAATTTAACAGTTTAAGTTGGTGACAACTTAAGTTTGAACATGTGCTAGACCTCTACATTTTCACTCCCTTTCATGTACTTGGTACGCCCTAAGTAATTATTATAGTTATTACTTTTATCTTTTACCCTTAAGCTCACTTTATAAATGATTAGCCCATTACTTTTTATTGTATACTTACCTTTACCAGTGAGATTCCTACTTTCATATGTCTTCTTGTTACTTAATAGCACCCATTCTTTTCAGCTTAAAGAAGTCCCTTGAGGCTGGTTTTGCGGTGATTTTCTTGCCTGGAGTTTTTTTTTTTTTAAGTTCTCTTTTTAATTTACATAATATCCTCAAGGTCAGGAATGGGATAATTCCCTTTCATAACTAACTCATTAGTGGGCAGAGTAGGCACTCAGGTATATGATGGAGGGAACGTCCTTGTAGATCACAGGGACAGCAGAGTTTGACAGATAGATGGCTTTGAAGCTGGATCTTCTTTGGAACCATGACTGTCACTAGCTTTGTGAGCTTGGGTGAATCAAGCTGAGGGAAAAACCTATCCTGCAGAGTCATTTTTATCATAAGTACTAATTACAAGCATCCTTTGTGTCCATCTGCCCTTCTAGGGCCTCTGATCATACGTCAGCTACAAGTTGAGGATGATTACGGGTCTCCTGGTCATGTAAGCTTCCTCTCCAAGGCCAGGGTTTAGAACTGTTACCTCCTCTCCGGTTCTTGGAGCTAGCTCGTGTCCCGCATTTAAATCTTGCCTTATATATATAATCCCTGGGCCATCAGTAGCTGTCTCAGCACAGCACTTTCGGCCTGGGGTGTTTGTGTTCTCTGCTCTCAATGGATGCATATGACCAGCCCTTTAACCCATTGCTAGTAGAGAAAGATGAAACAAAGACTAATTCTGCAGGGAGTTTGGTTCGGCAGGCAGTCTCAATGGGAACAGGTGGGATAAATAAGAAAAAGGAGTTTGGAGAGTCTGTACTTGGCCTCACTTTGTGAGTCTATGCAGGTCAACTTTCTCCTTTTACTTGATGGCTTCATATTGTGACATACCCAAATTACCCATTTTGGGGGTAGTAATCTGGCAACTTTATGGGTGTGTTCTAACCTTGTTTTTCTACTTGACCTTCATAGTTTACAGGGTACGAAGCAACTCACTAGGTCTGGGGTTGGCAAATCAGGTCCTACCTGTGTTTGTAATTTTGTTGGAACATAGCCACTCATTGATTTTATTGACTGGTATAGTAGCACAAAAGTAGCCCTAGTTAAGAGTTTAGTTGCAACAGAGCCTACATAATTTAACAGCCTATGAGCCCTTTCAGAAAAGTTTTCCATCTTCCACATGAAGTTGTTTGGGGCACAGGGTCACATGACTGGGCATCACGGTAAAGCACCTTGGAAGGTGAGCTGAGTTTATCTAACGGAAAGCCAGCCGAGGTCAGATTGTTCTCCAAAGCTGTAAATGCATTAAGATGGACCAGGAAGGATTTTCTACATGGTGCTCACTCGGGGCTTGGCCAGCAGGGACCACGTGCAGGAGACCTTTCCAGGAACAGACTATACCCTGGTGTGAAAACAGCCAGTCCTGTCCTAGGGGAGTGACTGGAACATGAAACAGCAACAGGAAAAGAGAGCATCTTGTCAGAATTACTACGTGGGGACTAAGACAAAGGACACATTTCCACTAGAACAGAAATCAAGTTTAATTCGTTGAAAAGTGCAGCAGTGAACAGGGTCCTTTGAAGGGCACTTTCTAAGTCAAATGACTGAAATGACAGAACCAGGGCAGAGTAACTCCCAGAACAGATGTTGCAAACACAGGAATTCACAAAATTCAGGGGGGACACAGTGGTGGTAAAACTAAAGAACCCAAATATTCCCATCTAATTCCACTGGTGGATCAGGTGACATACTCTTTGCTTTCTCATAAGGATCCTGGGACAATTCTTTTGTTAAAGCACAAGTCCTTCATTTAAACATTTAAAAGTTTAAGAACATTTTTCACAGGTTAATGTATAACTTCCATGGCTATCATTACTATTTTGTACAAAACCCCTAGTGTTGTCAATTATAATATATTGACCAAAAAAAAAAAATGTTATTTTGCAACAGCACCATTGATTCAAAGATGTTCAAAAGGTGTTTCCTACTTGGTGATTGCATGTGAGGAAAAGCTTTGTAATAGGAACTTTTATAAGGCAAAATCTGTTCATTCCTATGTCCTCTCCTCTGTTCATTACTAATGGGTAGTTCTCTACTCTGAAGGGCACAAATAGATATGGGCCTAGCCTTCTTAAAAGGGAAAGTAATAAAACTTAAATCAATACAATTAAGAGACAAGGCAAGCCTCCTGCAGTGGGTCTCTCAGACAGAGACATTTTGAAAAGTTCTGTGCATTTTGTAGCCTGATAGCCTACCCAAGCTGAAGCCTCAAAATGAAAGGTGACTTTAGCCCAGATCCAGAATGAAGCTTGACCAGGAGAGTCAAATCAGAGGACACTCAACACTCAGCTTGGAAATGCAACTACAGAAAGGCCCCACTGCGTCCCCAGCACAAACAAGCTGCTGGTGGGGATGGGTATGTCGGCAGCTGACATGTGTGTGTCACTCTATGCATCATAAAGTGAATTAATTGAATAATATGACATCACAGTACAAGATCTGGTAAGAGTTGGTTTCTTTTTATTCGGGAATAGTTATGGCCAACTTTCATTCATGTGGAAGTCGACTGAGAAATGTTAAGAATCAAAAGTGTAGAATAAAGTCGAAACCCATATTCAACATTGTAGTTTGCTTTTAGTTACAAATTTTTATAATTAAACAGCAGCGGTGTCCATTTCATTTGCCTGTTTCACCTCTAAATATCACCAGTTAATGGACTACGTGAGGTAAAGGAAAAAAAACCAATGGCTATCTGGAATTCTGATAGAACAGCTACTTACGACCACGTCTTACAAAGTGCTTAAAGCTCAGCCTAAGACCCTAAATAAAGCTCATTCACTATTGCCTGAGTTGATCAGGTTACAAACCACAGCGTTCCTCCTTCCTTACTGCCCCACCACTGACTAACCTTCTCGTGAAGAAAAAGGTGGAAATGGGCTTCAGTCAAGAAACAAAAATATGTAGTTTTAAATAGTGAGGAAACCTCAACAAGATCTGGTTTTAATGAGAATAGTGAATGGGGCCTAAATTACACAAGACACCACAAATTCAGAAGAACAAAATGGTGCATCAACTACAAAAAATTTCTTAACAAATGAACAGCTAGACAGTGTCAGCAAAATGCAGAGAGAGTCAAAACAACTTCAGCCTGGGACTGACACCCAGACTCCCTGCTGGTCAGGCACTTACTGCGTGTCAACCGAGCGCCCCCTCTACAGAAGGCCCTCAAAACACACACCCTTCCCTACCCCTGGTGTCACCTGAGACTCCATCTGGTGAGCAGCCCCTGGAAAATAGATGGCTCTCACCTTCAACAACTAACTGCAATTAGCCTTTACCAAAAGCCTCTGTTCCATCTCAGTGTGTGCCAGTCCAGGCCCAAAAAATGAACAGAGTTTGGCTGACGTTTTGAATTTGCGTCTTATCAAATTGTGATGGACAGGTACTATAAATAACATATTTCTGCTACTCTGAAAGCAGTGGTACTTGTTCTTAGATGATTTAGTTCTGATAGTTACTCTTCAAGCCATGTGATGTTAGTACTTTTTGAGAGTCAAGTGCTCAATCTGAAATGCGATGCAGGTCCTTTGATTTTCAGGTCATGCTTCATACCAAACGCATTTTTCTGAACGGGTTTACCAATTCAGGCCTGGACCACCGAGGAGCAAGCCCAGGACAGAAAGGGTATGGCGAGAACACGGATTGCAGGAGCAGTCGTGTCAGCTGAATGGAGGGACTGGGGACGGCCGCTCTGACAGACGGGCAGCGTTCACAGTTTAACACACTGCACAGGAAGGTCGGCCGATTGGGGTGCTTTTCACAACAGGACTTACAACAAGCCAGTCCCGAAACTCTTCCAGGCGTGGTCTTGAAGACTAGCTACAGATACCTACTACGCTCACTTCATCAGACAGGCGTGCAGGGGCCCAGCTGCAGAGGTCGCTACACGCAGAGGTCGCTACAGAAGGTGTTTGGAAAACCTTCGAGTCCTGCCGCCATTGAAATTGTTGAACATGAGACGAGGGTCAAACCTGTATCTGGGGAGAAGGGGTAAAAGGATGTCACATCACTTGCAGTTGCCAGAACCTCCCTCCAAATGCTACGTGGAAAGGAGGGCAGGAAGGGATAGCAAAGAACAATTAAGTCACCAGACAGGAATCTAGTAGCACAAGACGGGGGAGTTTTATTAAGGGCATTTCCATCGCAAGTCAGCCACACAAAACAGGAGAGGAGAAACAGGAAGGTTCATCTGAGAAGGCATTAGGAAGAAGGTGAGATTTGTTTTTTTGGTTTGTTTTTTTGGGAGGAAGGGGAGATGTCTAAGGTATACAGCGGCCTGATGGATGAGTCTAGTCCTTGCCGAAGGCCCCGCCAGCAGTTGCAAAGTCCTGAGCCTTTCTTTTACAATTAAGTGAAAGAGCACAGGTGTGTACTTCAGACGTGAGTTTGAATCTGGTTCATTATGAACTGAGGCAAGTCATTAACCCCTCTGGCGGCCAATAAAATAGTAAGGCAATTTGTATACATTGTCTGGCACATAAAAGAACTCATTTTACCACCCATGGGGAAGTCAGAGTGAATGCCGAATAGTAACTTGAGCTGAGACTTGGCAACCATAAAGAATATAGGTGAAAGCTAGGAATAACATTGTCTTTTACTTTTATCTGCTGTCTTTTAGGATAAACGAATCTTACTATTATTTTAGAGTAAGGGCTGGCCAATCCCCCACCCCCCGACCCCCTCATAAAGAGGCAGATAATAAATACTTTAGCATTTGCGGGCCATACAATCTCTGTCCCAACTATTCAATGTTTACTGAAGTGTAAAAGCAGCCACACACAATACGTAAGTAAATCTGTGTGCCTGTATTCTAACAGGGTGGCTAGATTAGGCCTATGGGATTCTCTAGGCCTAAATATTTGTTTGGAGAGACTAGCCTATGGCTAAAGAATTTTAAAGAAAATGGGTTCCAAAACTGTAATCCTGTTTCCCTCCTCATTCACATCCATTCCTCTCTCATGTGGACTGAAGACCTCTTCATGTGGCGATGATTTTCATTCGCTTAGGACAGCATTCTTCCCTCTCTCCTGTAATTAGGCTACCAGAACTGAAATAATTCTTTCCCAGGGAAAGTTTAATTCTGTAAATTTCGAGCAAAAGATGACAGGTTTTGCCATAGGCGCTCAGAGATACCGTGTGCTGAGCCCAGTGTTCGTGGTGAAAAGTTACTGCTCAAGAGGAATGAGAGGAAGGAATGGAGCCGACTGAGTAGGTGGTAAACATCTTTCCTACCTCTGTGTACTGCAGGGGGCTTACACATTTCAACATGAGAGTTTATGCCTTCTGTTTCATTATCTGTATTTAATACATTACATTTACTGGCAAGTATTCATGTTTCTGTAATGGGGGTTTCTGAGAAATGAAATGGAGGCCTATGCTCTCGGAATTGCTAGGGAACAGAGTAGGACTTGGTCAGTTACTCTACAGACGCCCGGGGTCACCAGTGGTGCCCTGACAAGAATCCCAGCCAGGAGGGGAGGCAGAGGAGTCCCAGAGGCGGTGAGGAGCGGGGCTACGCCTCTCAAGCACCGACTGGCACACAGGGCATTTCAAACAGCGTGCTCTGCTGGCACACGGGCTGGTGCACGGAGGCACGGTGTTCCCACTCTTCAGCAAGAGCATGGGAACCAAAACTCCCAGTGAAGGGACCCCTCGGGCTCCCGCCACCTTCAACAGCAGCAGACAGCTAGAGCCAACTTGGCGAAGTCACTAAGGAAAACGGAAACTTACCCGGGGTCAAAAACCCCTGGAGTGCGGCAGGCTGGTCCAGAACAGGACTGCAGCATCATCAGCCGGTAGTTCATCTTCCCGAGAAGCTCTGGGTCGATGCTTTTAGCAATGTTTGTGATTTGGTGGGGGTCTGCAGTCAGGTTATAGACTTCCACAAACACCTGCAGGCAATGAAAGGAGGGAGGAAAGAAATACTCGTGTGAATTGTTCCCAAATGGGGAGGGCAGAGTCAGACAACACCCATGGCCCAGGAAAACATCATCTGGTCTCAAGATCCGCACAGAAAACAAAGACCCTCGAGAGCCCAAGGGTGTCCATGCGGCAGCGGAGCATCTGTTCGGGTTAAACTGCTTCGGTCTAGGGCCCACGCACTGGAAGGGCCCTTTTCGGGCAGAGTCAGGAGAGGGTGGTCATTACTTCCTGTAACTAAAGCAGACAGCAGAAGGCAAGATCTTCACAAGCAGGGTCTCAGAAACTAGACTTAGGAATGAAGTTACTGAGAGGGAGCTGACATTTGAAGGTTTATTTTTGCCTTGGAATTGTGAAGATTCAAATGAGGATAGGAAAGTACTCTAACCTGTGTTACACAAATGTTAGAAAAGCAGTGTTGCTGAAAGATATAATACTATTATTTCTAATATCAGACATGTCTAATATCACTATTTCCCTCCAGTCTGTCTGTACCTTGTTCTCCAAATTGGAGTTAAATGATAGACTAGGAAGATGATGGGCAGAATTTGCCTATAATGGTTTCAAGTGGCTGCTCTTATACTAATAAAAGCATAATATGCTAATTAGACATTCTGGATGAAGCTGGGCTGTGAGGGAAGCCTGGGTGCCAGAAGGAACTGGTGCTGGCAACCGGGAAGGAAGGCCTGTTCTTGCACAAATTCCGTGCATCAGGCCTCTAGTCACTTATAAAGTAGTTACGTGGGTAGATTATGGGGGGAGAGGAATAGGAATTGAGTTGGAGGGGAACTCTGTTGCCTGTTTAAAATGTTTAAAAGCTACATGGAAATGGCGAGTGAGTCAGCTTCTGAGAAACATGATGAATGTTGGCTCCACAGGGCCCAATGTGAGGAGCCAGCTGGCATAGGTTAGTGCCTTCTGACAAGTGGTGTGAAACCACAGGGACGTGTCACGAGGTCCTTTACATCGTCCGTGCTGATCTGTTTGAGCAGCACAGGACTGTGCTGAGGTTGGGACAGAGTTTCTGACCATGCTGAGGTGTCTGACTCTCAGCCCACCAGGTAGGGAAGCCACATCTGGCAAAGTGACCCGCACATTTAGTGTGTTTGGGTGGTGGCGGGAGAGGGCATCACCAGAAAGGGCACGGCAGAGAAGCATGGCCTGAGAATTCCGATTCCTTCGCTGAAGGAAACTTAAGTGGAAGTACAGAGAAGAACACATCTTCCCTTGGAACTGCTCTTCTCCCACCAAGTCCAACCAACAAAGCGCCGGCAAAACACAGGGAGGCAGCAGGGCACCTTACCTCCTGGTCGTCAAACTCGCAGTACTGTAAGTTCCACCGTGCTGACATGGTCCGCACACAGGCATACGTGTTGTTATAAGCATCTTCACACACACAGTCTGGGAAACATTGCTGTTGGGACATTATAAAAGTTCAATGAAGGTAAGTCATTCCAGAGTAACCTGCCTACCAAGTTGGCTCAAACCAGATATAAGTGGACGGAAATTAGGAAACTTTCTACGGAGAAATGAACCAAAAATAACATGATGTGCAGCTTTGTTCCTTACTGATGTGATGGCCCCCTTGACTAAGGGACATGGTCATGGTGGTTCTGTCTGTGGACTGTTGCTATCCCTGCTGGCACATCTGACAAGAATTAGCTGTAATGGGCCCTGTGAAATGTATGTTGGTAAAGAAGAGACCAATACTCAAATGAGTCACTTCTAAGGTATATTAGAAACTGCCATGCTAGAAATTAGGAAAAAAAGCTAAATTGAGCTTTGTGAAACCATCAACAGGTTAGTTATTTATGACTGTTCTTATCACCAAATGGGATTTGAATTCAAGTCTCCCATAATAACTTTTGGTTGGTTCTTAACTATCGGGAACACCTTGGTGTTAGAGGAGTCAACTCAAATGGAAGCCCATTTCCCATTCTCCAACGCGAGGCCAACACCACCGTGACCACCTTCATGACCAGCCTGGCTGCCACCAGTGTAAGACACTCATGATGGCACGGTTAAAAGCCCATATTGTGTTGGATGCCACAGGTCATATTCCTAACAAAAAACAGTACCATTACTGGGAAGGGTAGGAAATCCGGAAGGGGTATTGATTAACAAGGTTAACAATATTGGCAGGTACGTGTACTTGTTATAATAATTGGGAGAATTTGAAGTGCACATCTGACAACAGTTCAGCAGCATAATTTTCATGATTTTTTTTTTTTCAGGATTACTGATTTATCTTTGTGCATCTACTGATCTTGCAGGCAAGTAACTAAATGAAGTGATAGAGAAGCAGGGCTCAAATGGGTTTCAGAACCTGCTACCTCTACACCAGTGTCCTGCCGAGCTGTCAGTGAGGAAGCTGTCCAAGCCAACTCAAACTGTTACTCACAGAGACTCCAGGACTCAGGGAAGGACATGTTGGGTCGGTGACATTGCGACCTTCGCCTTGATATTCCACCAGAACGTCCGATCGCCAGGTCACATTGCTGACACCTGTCTAGGAAGAAGAGCAGAAGTGATTCCTGTGAGGCTTACAGACTGAGCAGGACCACAGAGTTATTGATTCTGCTGCCAACGGGGCCTCGAATGTCAAAACTAACTGGACTGTTCATTCAGTAACTAAAGGGAATGGCTAAAACTGATGCATATGAAGGCTAATGAGGATGTAGAGCAGCAGTTGCCACGGACCACCGGTTACCGACCACTGCTCTAAAGGTTTCCTTAAACCAGCGGTCGCCAACCTTTTGGGCCTCACGGACCACCAGTGGTTCTCGGACCATCAGTTGCCGACCGCTGTTCTAGAGCCCTTGCAAGTGATGGGCAAGTGCTTTGAGCACTCTATAGTTCCCATGACTACTGTGAGGCAGGTCAGGAATGGAAACCAGCAAAGTTGCTAAGCAAGAATCAGTCACAGCTCAAGGTGCTGAAGTCAGGTTAGAATAAACAGTCCTGTCCCTAAACTGTGTGAGTATTATTCTAAGCTCATACTAAGAAATGCATAGCTTCATACACAAGGACAAGAACTCACAAATATTCAACAGGATTGTGCTAAGGACGGTAATAGGTTCAACATACTTGCTGGTCAGAATGAAGATAGCATACATACATGAACTTGTGTGTGTGTGTGTGGGAGAATCCCCCACTTCAGTTCTTATAACTGAACTAGTAAAATAAGAGGACAAAACAAGACCAAAACTAGGCATGTTGTTTAGAGATATTTACCTAATAACCCTAAAAAATAAAAGCCAGAGAATGATAACCATGAAAATCAGAAAGTGATCACTCTCATGGGGCAGCTGAGGGATAGAATGGGGAGGAACAGATAGGTAGAGGTACCAATATTAGGAATATCTGAGATTTTAAATGGAATGATGGATTCGTGGTATTTCTTGTGTTTCATAACTAATATGAGTTACACGTATTCTCTTCTATGAATCATATTCTACCTAATACATTGTAATAGATTCAGAAAAATCAATAAGATTTATGAGTCACTTAAATGCCTAAAACATTTTAAGACCAATCTTTCCAAACTTACCTATGTTTAAACATACTAAGACACATTTTTAATAAACAAGAAATGCTGTTGTGGCCGGGACCGGTTTGGCTCAGTGAATAGAGCGTCAGCCTGCGGACTGAAAGGTCCCAGGTTCGATTCCGGTCAAGGGCATGTACCTTGGTTGCGGGCACATCCCCTGTAGGGGGTGTGCAAGAGGCGGCTGATCGATGTTTCTCTCTCATCGACGTTTCTAACTCTCTGTCCCTCTCAATTCCTCTCTGTGTAAAATCAATAAAATATATATTAAAAAAAAAAAAAAAAAAAAGAAATGCTGTTGTGAAACCTCCTTTTCTTGCTATAGTATGGAATAGGCATCTTTCCAAGTCAATGTATACAAATCTATACTATGTAGTGTTAGTTTAATATTCTATTGTTTAGTGGTGCAACAATTTAACCATGGATATTTAGGTTTTCTGTTTTCTTCTATTAACACTACACATACATTTTTTTATAGTTAGCTCTGTAAGTCTGAGTAATTTCATTTTCTCAGACCTCTGAAAATAGTGGGTATCCAGGCTAGTTCTGCAGACAATAAAGGTCTCATTCAGTTAAGCATTTCTTTGATCAGCATTGAAGCAATCTTTTTGCACTCTGACCATTTCTAATACCTCTTTGAGTTAACCAGTTACTTCTTTTGCCCATTTTTCTACTGGGATATTAATCTTTGGTTTCTAAAAATTCTTATATTAGGACTTACTACCATTTTTCACACTTGTAAATATCTTCCCAATTTGTCACCTGTCTTAATTTTGTTTATAATGGTTTTTGGGGGGAGGAGATGGGAAGTAGGAAGAATATAGAAAACTCTGTTTATCTGTGTTCCGATCATTCTTTTAAAAAGAAAACTCTTTTCCCCAAATTTAATAGTTTTTAAGTTTAAATTTATACAACCTGGAATTTATTTGAGAGTCTTGGCTCAGGCCTGATTGAGGGCTTTATACTCACCAAAATGGGCAATAAAGACATCCCATCCATCTGCGTCTTATTCAGGTTGTAGCCAGCAATGTCCAAAATAGTAGGACCCAAGTCAATGTTGGCAACGAGCATCTATGGGAATGAGAAAAAGAAACAAGTTTTCCTTTTCTATCTGTACTGTCTTCCCCTACTTCACCATGACACAAACAGCATGTACTATTATCTTTTGTATAGCCCATACTTACATAGGTCTTACTGACTTATATATACAAATATAATTATAGTAATTTAAAAAACAAAGGCTTATAAGGCTGTAATATATGCCCTTGGGAAGTTATTTATTTATTCCACACATAGTGTTGTTGAGCAAAACATTTTTAAAAACTCATTTGGGATTGCCTAGAGTCTGTTATGAATCATGAGAAAAATGTGGGTCTATTTTATACCAAGTGTTTTCCAACTTGATTATTCTTATTAGTTCACTAAATTTAACTTAAAATTGACTCCTGACAATTTTGAAAGCCTCAAAGGTTAAATGCTTACCACCAAGGAGGATATTTGCTCTTTTTATAGTGTTTTTGTTTTGTTTTTTTTGCAATAGGCTTTGAAAACAGCAGAAAACTTATTCCAACAGTACATCAAAAAGTTTCCTTCGCCGAAACCGGTTTGGCTCAGTGGATAGAGCGTCGGCTTGGGGACTGAAAGGTTCCGGGTTCGATTCCGGTCAAGGGTATGTACCTTGGTTGTGGGCACATCCCCAGTGGGGGGTGTGCAAGAGGCAGCTGATCGATGATTCTCTCTCATCGATGTTTCTGACTCTCTATCTCTCTCTCTTCCTCTCTGTATAAAATCAATAAAATATATATTTTAAAAAAAAAAGTTTCCTTGAGGAGCACAAAACTTAAATATTTTAAACATTCTTTGGATTAAAGATACCGTCCTGCATTTATACCTCTCCTTATTTCCTTGGTTTATTAGACTATTTTCCTTCTGTATACAATGCCTCTTCAGGACCTAACCCAGCGCAGTTCAAATAGAAACATAAGAGGACCATATATGTAATTTAAAAATATCTAGTGAGCACATTTAAGTAAAAAGGTGAAATTCAGTGTATATATTTCATTTAACCTGATATATAAAAACATTGCTATTTCAACATGTAAGCAATACAAAAAATCAATGATTTTACTTTTTTTTAACCAAGTCTGTGAAATCTGAGATGTTATAATATTTAACATCTATTAATATTAATAGATGTTAACATTAATTAGTAGTCTATCTTTGGCTCAACAGCCAATGTGGCTGGTGGCTATTGCACATGGACAGTGCAGGCCTGGATATTAAGCACACAACTAGAAGTCAATTTGCTCACATGTTAGAAAAGGTTCAGAGTGGTGGTAACAACCCAGCAGGGAAACCAGGGGAACTAATGCCCACTGAGCACCTGTACTGTCCCAGTATTTAGCATTTACCCTCACTTAATCCTCACCACAATCCTGTGATGCAGTACTTCCCCCCCATTTTACAGATGAGAAAATCAAAGAGAAGAAATTGAAACAAAGTCAACAGCTTGTAACTAGAAAAGCCATTTTTTACTCAGAGGAAATTTCAGTGTTCACAATTATTGAGAAAATTTAGATCATTTTAGGGAAGGCCAAATGGGGATTAAAAAGAACCCTACTAACTTCGTACTTTTAATTCAAAAACAAAACCAAAAGTACAAACACAAAAGGCAAGAAAACACCTGATCGTTGTTCATCCTGGCTCTGAAGCGTCAGAAATGACCTGGCAGCTCAAGGGAAAGGCAATCCATGTGCTACTGTGAAAAGCCCACAGCAATGTCTAGGGATTATATCAAACCTGGGTTAGTGAGACTGTACCTAGGTCCAAGTCCCCCAGGTAGAGTGGGAAGCCTGGAATATGGTCAACAAGAATGGACATGAACAATAGCTGCACAATTTACCATAGCTAAGATTTGGAAACAGCTTAAGTGCCCATCAGCAGATCAGTGGATTCAAAAGCTGTGGTACATCTACACAATGGAATAATACACTGCAGTGAAAAAAGAAGGAACTTTTACCATTTGCAACAGCAGGGATGGAACTGGACAGAATTAATTTGAGAATAATAATAGATCCAGAGACAAATGGTAGGAGGGGGAGGTTAGAGAGCAACCAAAGGACTTGTATGCATGCATATTAGCATAAACAATGGACAGACAGTGGGTTGGTGGGGGCTTGCCCAGGATGGGAATGTTTGGGGGAGAGTGTCAATTGGGAGAAAAGGAGACATATGTGAAATTTTAGGCAAGTAAATAAATAACGGGGGGGAGGGCATTAAAAAAATAAATAAAAAAGAATGGACATGCCGAAACTGGTTTGGCTCAGTGGATAGAGCGTCGGCCTGTGGACTGAAAGGTCCTGGGTTCGATTCCGGTCAAGGGCATGTACCTTGGTTGCAGGCACATCCCTGGTAGGGGGTGTGCAGGAGGCAGCTGGTCGATGTCTCTCTCTCATCGATGTTTCTAACTCTCTACCTCTCTGTCTTTCTCTCTGTAAAAAATCAATAAAATATATAAAATAAATTGAAAATATCATAAGTCAACAATGCACTTAATATACCTAACCTACCAAACATCATAGCTTAGCCTAGACGGTTTCCACTAGATGCGTATTTTGTATCACCATCATAATGTCAAAAAATTATGTCAGAACACTGTAATTCGGGAACTGCCAGTACTGCTTTTATCTCTCTATATAAAACTCAAACATTCACTTATGGACTGAAACGGGAAAAGCTTGGACAAGATCAAAAGTAGATTATTTCATAAATCATAGCCTCTCAGTTGGGAATGTTCTTGGGATTTAAATATACAGACATCAAATAAAAGCCCCTGGAAAGCTCTGGGGCATGATTTCAAGGACATCATGCCAAGGGCACTTTTCTTTGTTCTGGAAGATCAACAGTGCTGCAGAATCAATGAGAAGAGTAATAGGGCTCTCAGGAGGAGACTTGGGGTTTCCAAACAGACATTTAAGCCCCAATGTTAAAGAATTCATGTACGGCCATCAAAGAGGCAAACACATCACAAAACACCCAAATCCACATAGTGCAAAGCACTGAAGTGGCAAAGACAGAGAACTCCACATCTTGAGCTGCTCCACCTGGATGTGCCCCTCAGCTTCTCCAACAAGGAAGCAGCCAGGCATCCCCGAATTGCACTGCACATCCTCCCAATTTCATACAGAGAAGCTTATTTTGTCCACAGTCTTAAAGTCCGTATGTGGTTTTCCTGACTCCCAGTTCAGTTCTATTTCCCTTTGATCATGCTGGCCATGTTAGTTTTCCTACAAACCTTTTCCTGCCTTAAAACCTTTTTAAAGAAATTCTACCACCCAATAAAAGCTAGATTAATTTCTAGCAAGAGAGGAAAACCTCAACAGCCAGTCTTGGAAAACCACACATACCACCTGCCCCTGCTCTCCTGAACAGCCATTACACAGCTAAACCCACTGGTCACACGTGCCCTTTTTCGCCATCAGGCTGCTGACAGCTCGGTTCATTATGTAGAGCAACTGGCACCGAGACAACTGTGCTGCCAACACATGATGAATCACCCACTGTCTCTGACATTCTCTGCGCAGGATGAAAGCTGGGCGTTTCATGCTTCTCAAACTACAACTGTCAGCACAGAAGGTGAAAATGGATTTTGAGAATAGGCATAGTTCATTTCCAGTCTGGTCTGCCATTTACTAAGTGACCTTGGTAATAGCCATCCAACTAACTCAGGTGTCCCCCAATGTTAAGAGTTGGGTATTCTAAGTTTAGATAATGCCTCTCTTCTAGGAAATCCGAGTTAAAAAAGACAGACTCAGTAAGGTGTGGTAAGTGTGAGGCCAGGAACAAGGGAAGGTCACCTACCTTATCTGGGGACAGGGGTACTGACCTCCCAGAGGGAACCCCTAAAGGACAATTAACGTAGCCTGGTCAAAGGGCATGAGATGGGCATTCCAGATGGAAGGAACAGTCAAAGGCAGGCAAGGAGGTGAGAGAAGCGGTTCACTTAGGAAGTGAAAGCAGTTCAGTCCCTGCACAAGCCCAGCTCTTTCTCACGTCTATGCCTTCACATTTACTGTTCTGCCAGGACAGCCTCCCGCAGATCTCTGTATGACTAAATCCTCTCAGCACCAGGTCTCTGCTCTGACAGCTGCTTTCACTGACAATTATAGCTCAGTATCTGGCTCTCCCTGACAAAGGAAGTTAAGGGGGATCTTCCCAGACCACTCACTGCTGTGTACCCAACGCTCCAGGCACAGAGTGCTGGAACAATATACTTCATAAACACTTGCTGTCTGAGCTACAGTGTAACTGTTAAGTGTCTGGACTCTGGAATCAGACTGAACAAATTCAAATAACAGGGTTCTGATATATTTTAGCTACATGATCTTGGCAAACCACTTAACTTCTGTACCTCAGTTTCCTCATTTGTAAAATGGGACTATTAGTACCTATATCTCATAAGACTGTGAAGGTTAAATGAGTTGATGCAGGTAATACATTTAAAATAGCACCTGTCACATACTAAACATTCAGTAAATGCTAGTTGTTATTGGTAAAATGGCTCCCTAGGAAGCAGGCCTCATTTGCACTGCTTAGAGAGGGTGAAGTTTCTCAGTTTGACATTTAGATGGCACTGCTGACTTGAAGAAAAAAGGACCAGCTCGTCCCATGGGCAGCTGGCTGACACACTGCACTCTGCTCTCACTCAGCCTCCTTCCCCGCACAGTCAGAAAGGGCCCTGCAGCCCTGCTCCTGGGAAAGGCACACAGCTGCTAGCATTTTCCTCAATCAGCGCCCAGCACCAAGATCAATAAAATGCTTTTTAAGATTTAATGGGGTCTTCCAAACTTGCCTATCTCCTTTGTAAGAAGAGGCCTTTGTAGAGGGTATTGAATTTGTAGTGAGAAGTGACTGGCTCTAGGAATATGGATCTTAAAAGAAAAAGAAAAAGAAAACTCAAAGGCAATTATGAAGGCCATTTTACTTTTCAGACAGAATTTGAACAGAATTCCATCAAGAGCATTTTGAGAGGAAATAAGTGAATGTCAGACATTTAAACAAAGTAAACATTAAACTCCCAAATTAAACTGAAGTATACCCAGAAAGTCTGGCCCGTTTCCCAACTTTAGCTTACATCATGTCTTTGCTCATTTTCTTTTGTTTCACAGAAGACTAAAATAATGAGTCAGAAAAGAGAGAAGACATAACTAATAGTGTCTACCAATTTTTATCTCCTGGCACTAGACCAGAGAGTTCTGAATCAAGGTGCCCATGACCTCCAAAAACAAAGTGCCTTAGTATTAAGTAGCAAGTGTGGAAAGATACGGAAACCAAATGAAAATAACAAAAGAGTCTGGTGCATTATGCAGGTCCAGGAGGGAACACCTATAGAGCAGAAAAGAATCCCATGGAGATAAACAAAATTCTCAGAGAACATGCTTTCCATAGCCTTATACCCAAAATGGGGTCAGGCCAGCGTCACCTGGGAGCAGGTCAGAAAGGCAGCCTCAGAACCACATCTGAGCAAGGCCCCGGGGATCTGCCCACAATAAGGCCTGGGGAGATCTGTACAGGGCTGTGGGCCCCAATCCAGCTTCCTGAAGTTCAGGGGGGGGGGGGGGGGGGAAGCAGAGGACGGGTCCATATTCCAGCCCAAGTGAGTTAACCAGAATCTTTCTACATGTTGAACCTTTCACAACTTCAGAGGTTAAGTTTGACGAGCTCCTGGGTAGAGAGTCGCTGCTCCAAAACAAAGTAAAGATCTAGTCTCAAGAGAGAAACAAAAAGAGGCAGGGTCAAGATGGAGAAGAAGATAAATCCTGAACTTACCTCCTCCAACTAACACATCCAAATTACAACTAAATTATAGAACAAGCATCATGGAGAACCAGCTGAAGAAGAGTGAACAGAGTCCTATAATTATGGACATAGATAAGAAGCCATATTGGGGACAGGTAGGAGTGACAGAGACACAGACCAGGCCGGTCCATGCCCATGGTGTAGTGATTGATAAATGGGAGGATGATATTGGCTACAAAGTTCTTCCCAGAGCAGTGAGGGGTCCAAGCTCCTTAACTGGGCTCCCCAGACTAAGGCACCTGTGCCAGGAAGAAAAGTCCCATAATATCTGGCTCTGAAAACCAAAGGGGATCATGTACGAGATAAAGGTCTATGAGACAAAGATGCTGATCATAAAAGGCTCACACAAAGCTCACTTGCTCCAAGTTCCAGTGCAGAGGCAGAAGCACCCGAGTCACATGAGGAGGAATAAATTAGACTAACTTTAGGGTGAGGGCTGACGGGGCAGAGGTTGGAACCACTCTCTCAGGGAACAGAAGCATTGGTGGGTGCCCTTGTTCGCCTTGCTCTAGCATATCCCCGAGACTCTGTCCCCACCAACCCACTCGCCCAGCAGATCCAGCTCCATCCCCTCCACTCAAGCAGCTGGTCTTGGCACTGCTGAGGACTCTCCCACAGCCCCACAAAAGCAATGGCCAGCCTCATCTCAAACTGTAGCTCCCACTAAGCGGCCCTAAGCCTGATAAAAGTGACAATCAGCCTTAGTTTGTGGCACAGCTCCAAACAAGTGGCCCTAAACCTGGCACAAATGGCCTCCTGCAGTATAGCCCCAACCAAACAGTCCCAAGCCTGGAACAAGTGGCAGCCAGCTTTGGCTAGCATACCAGCCTCTCCCAAGAGCATGCAAGTGACTGCAAGTAGCACCTGGCCTCAGCCCACACTGATGCCCCTCCAAAGAGACACCAGACCCAAACAACCATTGGCTGGCTTCAGAATGCTCTAGAGTCCCACCCAAGTGGCTCTACAAGTAACATATCGGACAGGCAGCCTTGGACTCCACTAGAGTGACCCCCACTCCATGGTGGTAGCCTCTGCACAGCAGCTTGTCCATTGATACAGCCAATCAGCCTGAAGGTCAATCTCACCTAATGACCTCCCAGCAGCTATTGAGGCCTCCCCTGCAATCTTAGGTCCCCCCAACTGCCCTCTCCTGCCAGCCTGATAGCCCATAACTGCCCTCCCCTGCTGGCCATCTTGTGTCCACATGGGGACAGCCATCTTTGACCATAGGGGGTGGCCATGTTGTATGTTGGAGTGGTGGTCAATTTGCATATTAACTATTTATTATGTAGGATTAGTGTATGATAAAGGAGGCAAGAATATACAAGGAAGTAAAGCAATCTCTTCTTCAATAAATGTTAGGAAAACAGAATAGATAGATGCAAAAAATGAAATTAGACCATTTTCTTACACCATATACAAAAATAAACACAAGATGTATTAATCTTGTATGTAAGACCTAGAATTATACAACTCTTAGAAGACAAAATGGGCAATGGACTTTTTTACATTAATTTTAGTATATGTCATCTAGGGCAAAAATAAACACAGAATATAAGTAAATAAACTACAACAAACTAAAAAGCTTTTGCACAGTAAGGGAAACCATCAACAAAATAAAAAGGCAACCTACTGAATGGGAAAATATTTTTGCAAATGGTATATATGATAAAGGGTTAACATGCAAAATATATAAAGAACTCATACAACTCAACATCAAAAAACCAAACAATCCAATTTAAAAATGGGCAGAGGATCTGAACAGACATTTCTCTGAAGAGGACATACAGAGAGCAAGCAGACACATGTAAAGATGCTCAACATCACTAATTATCAGGGAAATGCAAACCAAAAACACAATGAGAGATTACCTCAGACCTCTCAGATGGCTAATATCAGTAAATCAACAAACAAGTGTGGGTGAGGGAGGATGTGGAGAAAAGGGAACCTTCCTGCATTGTTGGTGAGATTGTAAACTGGTGTAGTCACTATGGAAAACATATGGAGAGTTTTCAAAAAATGAATCATAGAACTACCATATGACCCAGCAATCACATTTCTGGGTATTTATCCAAATAAAGTGAAAACAGTAATTTGAAAAGATATTAATATATGCACCGTTATGTTCAGTTCAGCATTATTTACAATTGCCAACATATGAAAATAGACAAGGTGTTTATTGAATAAAGAAGAGGTTGTGAGGCCTAACTGGTTTGGCTCAGTGGATAGAGCGTCAACCTACAGACTCAAGGGTCCCATTCCAGTCAAGGGCATGTACCTTGGTTGCAGGCACATGCCCAATTGGGAGTGTGCAGGAGGCAGCTGATCGATGTTTCTAACTCTCTATCCCTCTCCTTTCTTCTCTGTAAAAAACAAACGAACAAAACTCAATAAATAAAAAAAGAAAAGAGGTGGTGAAACAACATGGATGGAACCAGAGGGTATTATGTCAAGTGAAATAAGTCAGACAGAGAAAGAAAACTAATGTCTGACTTTACTTACATGTGGAATCTAAAATACAAAATATACAAACCAAAAAAAGAGAAAAGAAACAAACTCATAAATACTGAGAACAAACTGATGGTTGCCAGATGGGAAGATAGTGAGGGGAAGAGCAAAAAATTATGAAATATGTTATAAAATTAGTCACAGGTAGGTAAAGTACAGAATAGGCAATATAGTCAATAATCCTATCTAATAAAAGAGTAATATGCAAATTGACCATCACTCCAACACACAGATGGCCATCCTCATGTGGTCAAAGATGGCTGACCGCATGTGGACACAAGATGGATACCATAAGATGGCCTGCAGGGGAGAACAGTTGTGGGAGACCAGGCCTTCAGGGGAGGATAGTTGGGGGGACCCAGGCCTGCAGGGGAAGGCAGTAGGGAGGGGACCCACGCCTGCAGGGGAGGGCAGTTGAAGGGGACCAAGCTTGCAGGAGAGGGCAGTTGGGGGTGACCAGGCTAGCAGGGGAGGGCAGTTAGGCACAAATAGGCTGGCAGGGGAGCAGTTAGGCATCAATCAGGGTGGCAGGGGAGTGGTTAGAGGATGATCAGGCTGGCAGGCAGAAGCAGTTAGGGGCAATCAGGAAGGCAGGCAGGCGAGCAGTTGGGAGCAGCAGTCCTGGATTGTGAGAGGGATGTTCCAGAATAAATAGGGTGCAGGCTGGGCTGAGGGACACGAACCTCTCCTCCTCATATACACACACCCGTGCACAAATTTCATGCACCATGCCCCTAGTACTGTTATAACTATAGATAGTACCAGGTGGGTACTAATCTTATCTCATGGTAATTATTTCAAGGTATACAAATGTCTAATCACGATCTTGTATGCCTGAAGTTAATATATACTGTATGTTAACTATAATTTTTAAAATTCAATAAGACATCATGCTGATGTTATATATAATGTACACGGGTGTGTATATATACAAACATATATATTTGGAGGGGGGGATACAATTAAAAAGGAATGGTCAGGTATTTTTTAAAAGTCACTGTTTTCCAGGGACACTTACACAATCTTAAATCAATCAGCTTTCATCTCATAGGAGGAGAAATATAATCAGTCTTATTTTCTCATGCAAGTGCTACCTATAAACAGCATCACCTTGTCAGACACCTACCTTGCTTGTCTGATTTGGTTTGATCCCAGGCCCTCGAACCAACAGGGGAACTTTGATATCAAATTCATACAGCTGCCTTTTGTCTATTGGCAAAGAAAACTGTCCTGAAAACAAAAGGCATAGGGTAAAGATGGATACCAGATGGAAGTGTCACGCATATACATTCATTTTGTCAACAAAAACAAAACAACTTTGTTCATCTAATTATGGTGCTTTAATAGGAGGCTTAAATTTGCCTGGGTCTCATTACTGCAAGGCAGGAAACAATGAGTTCATCTTCCTTAAATAAATGCCTAGGGGGACTCCCAGATCTAAATTAAGACAAATTCAGGAAAAAGAGTAACTGGGAAGTACTGAAACACAAATGCTAATTTATTTATGATACTCAACTGAATGAGATTATTCTAAAACTGCTAAATAAAGGGCAAAAACATTTATCTGGCCTTTCCTGAATAAACTGCATTTCAAAAGAACTGAACAGTTGAGGGAAAATTCTTCTCTGAGGAATTCCAGCTAATAAATTCAAAAGGAAGAAGAGAGTTCTAAAGTCAACATTTTGCAATTTCTGAGGGAAAAATGAATTTAAGCATCAATGGAAGTTTTAACCACAAAAGGTTCACAGGTCAGGCTGACACCACATGCGCCATCAATCAATACTACCATCCCTAAAGTGGGGCAACCAGACACTGAGGCATCATGAAGGGATGCAACAGGAAGTACACAATAGCATCAACAAGAAAGCATGCTTGCTGAAAATGTGAATTTCTATTAAGACCCTAGATCTGACTACCAATCTATAGGACACGCTAAGTATAAATAAACAAGATAAAAGCCAGAATGTCAGATATTCTAATAGACAAAAGACCAGTTTTTCCAACCAATCAGAGGCAATGACAGCTTTTAGGACACACAAAAGCTAAAGGTAGCATGCAGACTTTGTCTAGATCCTGATACAGAATAATCTAGTCAGATGCACAATCAAGTGTTGATGTGTAGAATCACAATTTCTGGAGTTTCTACAAAAACTTCTAGCTAAAAAAAAAAACACCACACACCAGGGTAAGGTTGAAAGAATTCCAAAGTCTGGCCACATGCAACTGAAACTGAAGCTAGATAATGGGGGTTATTTTATTAGTCTCTACTTCAAGCATTAAAAATAGATTAAATGCCCAATCTGCTCTATACAAGCAAGCCTCGGGTTAATTCCACTCAAGTTTATGAAATTTATAGGTGGAGAAAGAAGAAAACATTGGTTTTTAACCTGCAAAAGGTTCAAGTAGAAAGGATGAAAGTTTATCCTGCAGTTTTAAAGACAAAACATACACACACACACACAAAATGAAACCTTCACATATGCGCGTGCGCGTGCACTCACGCACACAAAATTTCACAATTTCGAATAAAAGAGCCCCCCTACACCAGACAATTTTCTCTTCTTCTTTTGTGTAAAATGTCTTACCCTTATTTTCTAAAGTCTGCTTGTTCTTAAAATCCTGTTCAACTTCTTACCTCCATAAATCCTGCCTCCAACCCATCAAGCTCACTCTCCTGACTCCTGGAACATCACGTGATATAACATATGACACAGCAAATAATGAAACTGGTTTCTCCATGTGGCAATGAGTTGGCCCTCTGACCAGAGGGAGCCGAGGGCAAGACCTTCCCTCTGGCCTCTAAACTGCTCTACAGACACCAGACCTCCCGCCAGTGATCCTGGGTGGGTGAAACAGGAAAGGCACCTCCCAAAGGCCTCAGGAACACCCACCCACACCCCTTACCTGTGTGGTAGCCGTTGTCAGAGGTATAGAAGATGTAAGTGTTGTCGAGCTCCCCGATGAACTCCAATCTCTTGACCAATTTCTCCACAAGGTCATCAACTGAGAGTAGAGTTTGCCACCTGGATGTGAACAGAGGATGTCAATGGAACCTCAAAGAAAATGGCTCAGGGACACTTGCAAAACCTCAAAACCATTGTCTCAGAAATGGAAGAAATTTCCAAATTTCCTTTCTTCAAATGCCTTATTGGAAAAAAAAGAAAAAGAAAAAAAGAACACTTTAAAATAGTTACCTCAATCCAAATTGAACTGTTTCCAAAGAAATGAATGAGGCTTTTTATAACTAGTTTTATTACTTATCATCACTGTTGATGAGAGCAGAGATGAGGGCAAGTTGTCAACTCAGCACTGATTAATACAGATTAATTCAGATGGACTCCATCAGTGTTTGTGATCTAAACTAGGGGCTGGCAAAAGCTAAATATGGAGAAACCAATATAGTGGCACAGGTAAACACCTAACTGCAGCCTCACACAACAATTTCAATAAAATACAAAATGGACATTATCCAGAACTATAGGAAAATACAAAATGGACATTATCCAGAACTATAGGAAAGTCGACTGACTGGAAATTCTATAATGATAAGGAAAGAGAAAACCAGAAGGAAAATCAGAGGAGCTGTAAAAGCCTAAGGTACGGAGACACGTTGCACGCGGAGAGGATGAAGCCAGAGAGGAGGGGGAGGCTGAGTGCCTGGCTGGCGTTCCCTAGCGGGAAGGAGATAAAAGTTCTAGACTGTGCTGAACCCCAGTTCCGACAGCACTGAACCCCAGTTCTGGGCAAGACCCTGGGGACCCAGACACATAAGGAGGGAGTCTGGGCTGTAAGGCGGAACCTCAGGGGAGCAGCGAAAGGCAGTCCTGGAGGAGCGCACATTTCAAGCATAGGACGGACTGTTGACTCTGCTGCTAAACTGCCCTAGTGGGAAGGAGACAAAAGCTCCGGACTGTGCTGAGCTCCAGCTCCAACTGCACAGAACCCCAGTTCTAGGCCAGACCCTGGGGACCCAGGCTCAAACAGAAGGAGCCTGGGCTGTAAGGCAGAAACTCAGAGGAGCAGCGAAAGGAAGTCCTGGAGGCGCACACAGAATGGACAGTTGACTGTGTCGCTGGATTGCCCATGAGGGAAGGAGACAAAAGCTCCAGACTGCTCTTAATCCCACTTCCAACCCCACTTCCAACTGAACTGAACCCCAGTTCCGGGCTCATTGGGGGAGAGCCTAGACTGTCCGGTAGCGGGCAAAACTCGAGGGCACCTCTCTCAGAGGTGCTTGCAGTGAGTACTGAAGGACACTGAGGAACACTGAGACTCAGGAACCTCATGGGCGAGGATGACAGAAGTCAAGGCTGTAGGCTTTACTCTGAAACTCCGCCCCATACAAGCTGAACACAGAGACTTTTAAGGCTAACAACTCAAGGAAGCTGCCAAAATGCCGAGACAAGAAAACAGATCACAAACACAAAAAGCAATTAATATAGAGTTTAAAACCACGCTTATAAGGTTTGTCAAGAATTTCCTAGAAAAGGCCGATAAAATAAACAAGACCTATGAGGATATGAAAAGGGATCAACTAGAAATAATAAGGAATCAACTAGAAACAGAATACACTGTCTGAAATAAAAGATATTATACAGAGTCCTAAAAACAGAATGGAAGATCACAAGAATGAAGTCAAAGATTTGGAACAGAAAGAGCCAGAAGACACTCCTCCACAAAAGCAAGAAGACAAGAGAATCCAGAAAGTTGAAGATAATGAAAGAAACCTCTGGGACAACTTCAAGCGAACCAACATCAGAATTATGGGGGTCCCAGAAGAAGAGAGAGAGCAAGATATCGAAAACATACTGAAAGAAATAGTGACAGAAAACTCCCCCACCTGGTGAAAGAATTAGACTTACAAGTCCAAGAAGTACACAGAACCCTAAACACCAAGACACATCATAATTAAAATTCCAAGAGCGAATATTAAAAGCAGCAAGAACAAAGAGGTAGTTACCTATAAAGGAGCACCCATACGATTGTCAGCTGATTTCTCAACAAAACCATGCAGGCCAGACGGGAATGGCAAGAAATATTCAAGGTGATGAATAGTAAGAACCTACAGCCAAAAATACTCTACCCAGCAAAGCTATCACTCAGAATTGAAGGCCAGATAAAGAGCTTCACCAATAAAAAAAAGCTAAAGGAGTTCATCACTGCCAAATCAGAATTATATGAATTGCTGAAGGGGGTTCTTTAGGAAGAGGAAGAAAATAAAGATAAAAATTATGAACAACAAATACTTAACCATCAACAAGTAAAACTAAAAGCTAAAGGAATTAAAAAACCTGATGAACAATATTAACTGGTGAATTTAATAGAATCAGAGGTATGGAAGGGGAGTGAACTGACAATTCTCGGGGAAAAGGGGAGAGGGGGGTGTGGGAAGAGACTGAACATAAACTGTGCACCTATGGATGAGGACAATGAGGGGTGGGGAAAGGGCAGAGGGTGGGGTGGGAACTTGGTGGAGGGGAGCAATGGATGGGGGTAAAAAAATGAGGAACATTTGTAATAATATGAATAAAGATTTATTAAAATAAAAAATATAAACAAAAAAATAAACTAGGGGCTGGCAAACTGCAGCCATGCGCCAAAGTTTGCCCATTGTCTGTTGTTTGCTTTTAAATTGTGGTAAAAAACACATAATATAAAATTTACCATCTTAATACATAATTGTACAAGTCAGTAGTATTAAATATATTCAATAGTGGGAGAGATTTCCAGAACTTTTTCAGTTTACAAATCTGAAATGACCCATTAAGCAACTTACTGTCTGTTTTTATATACACATAAGGTTTTATTAGAACACAACCATGCTCATTCATTCATGTACTGTCTTGACCTGCTTTTGTACTCCAACAGCAGAGCTGAGCAGCTACAACAGAGATCATATGGCCTGCAAGCCTATAATATTTACCATCTGGCCCTTTACAGAAAGTGTTTGCCAACCCCTGGTAATAAGTAATAGATTACAAGTTAAGTAAATTTATTACTTAAGAAAATTTCTTGAAAATCACAAACAGCAAAGGTAAATAATTTGCTCTAGTCTAAGCCTTTGAGTTTTATGCAAATATTGGGAGACTGGTCCTAACAAACTGACCTTTTCCTTAGATACAGTAAACTTAAAAAAAAAAAAAAATATATATATATATATCTATATATATATAGATAGATAGATATCTATATATAGATAGATAGATAGATAGATAGTTTTAGAGAGGAGGGGAGAGGAAGAGATAGAAACATCAATGATGAGAGAGAATCATTGATCAGCTGCCCCCAAACCAGGGCATATGCCCTGATTGGGAATGGAACCCTGACCTCTTGGTTCATAAGTCAACGCTCAACCACTGAGCCACATTGGCTGGGTGGAAACTTAAAAAAAAAAAAAAAAAAAAAAAAAAAAAAAAAGGCAAATGGCTTCAGTTTGCAATGTTTTAACGAGTCATAAAAAGAGTGTGTTTAATTAGTATAAAAGGGTCCAAAGGCCACCTCACACACCCAAATGTAAAGGAATCTTTGCTTCTGAGGCAACACATGCCCTCCCCATCAAGCAAAGAGTCTCTCCCATCAACTTGTTACCCTCGGATTTTGTCTCAAAGATAACCACATGTTACAGTTCCCTGTTCATAGGCTGATTTGAAGAGTCCTCTAAGACAATACAAGTTGAGAAAGTAGCAGCTCTTACCTTTTCCTAAATGCATTATCTAAAAACTGTATCGAAGAATTAGTCATTGGGGTCTTGGCTTGCCTAATTAACCAGTGCTTGTTCTAAAATTTAAAAGAAAAAAGTGTTAACACCAAGTCACCCAGTCAAATAAACTACTTCAGTAGAAAACTAAATTTATAACTCTGAGTATGTGCTTTGGGACTCTTACCCAAACTACAAAAGGGTAAATATTAACTTTATCTTCCTCTTAAGATTTGCTTATAAGTCAACATTTTATTGCCCTCTATTTTCTTACCCAAGATATTGCTCATCATAAACTGTTGGGAAAAATGTCATCATAGCAATCTCTTAAAACTTCAAGTCCAAATCTGGAGGGTTCTTATTTAAATAAAAAAGTCAGTTTAAAAAAAAAAAAAAACACAGCAAAAAACGTTCAGACACCATTAATTTTCTCCTTCCTCCCTAGTCTTGAAACCCTAAACTATCTCCCGAACTATGATCCTCAAAGTGTTTTTTAGTTAATATGTTTCATATGTTTGAGAGATGGTATATAGCATGTCCTCTAACTAGAAATTCATGTTAGAACATGAATAACTCTGAGGAATCCTATAGCAGAGTGACTTATTTAATCTAAAGTTTCTGCACTTACTTGGTCATAGGAACTGCTATCAATTTTTTTAGAACACAGTTTGAGAATGGCTCTGTAGTTTAAAACTTAGCTCACTCAGCTTTCAAATCGTACTTAACAAGCACATGATTGCAATATTCCAGGCGATACCCCAGATGTTTCTATGTACTTTAGTCCAGACGATGGACTGTGAGGTGTGAAAGGTTGGCGACCACTGGTTTAAGAAAACCTTAGGAGTAGCGGTTGCCAACAAGTGGTCCAAGAACCACTGGTAGTCCATGAGATCCAAAAGGTTTGTCGACCACTGCTTTAGTCCGTATAGCAGTTGCATGAACAATGGAAGTTAGCATCTTGCTCACTGTTAGCATCTTGGGTCACTAAGCTAGAAGGTGGTAGTGCTGAGTCTAACTTTAAGATTCATTTTTCCCACCACTTCACAAGCAATGGAGATTTCTGGGAAACAGGCATGGGGCAGTAGAGGCATCCTGCACTTGGACTAGTCAATCCCTGTGACAAGGGAAGGGTAAGTAACTGACACATGAAGCAAAATTTAAATTGTGGCCCTTCATTATATTCCCTGTTCTGGCTCATTTCTCCATTTTATTTCCCTACCCATCATGTCACATTGTGTCTCCCTTCTTCTTCCTTTGCGCGAGGGCCACCAAAGGAGGCTGCTGCAAGCCCAACTTGGCCCCAAGGGTCACGTGTCAACCATGCCAGGCAGAAGAGAACCAGCATAGATATTATCAGGAGAGCCTGTAGTCAAGGAAGATGCATGTCTTTAATATTCCCTGTGGACTCTAGCTGCTCACAGGATGTATGGCAGGAACCTTATCTGTATTTCTGAAGCAAGATTATACCACCTATCTTATAAGGGACAGCTGTAATCACCTTTGAGCATCTGGAAAGAAAATCAACTACATGGCTGAAAGGCTCCCTGACAAGTACATTAACTAGCTAACTATATAGAGTATGGCTTAACTAGGATTAGGGACACTACCGTTCCATGGATGTTGAAGTTCTTGTTCCTTGGTGCGAAGACGTTCTGGAAGGTCTTCTGGTACTGGGGTGCAGCTATCCAAGGCGAGTGAGGCGCTGGAGTGGAGATCATCATGAAGAACGGTTCAAAGTTGGACTTGTAGTCCAGGAAGTCCAAGGAGATATTAGCCTGACATACACAAAGATTTGTCATCTCCTACCCTACCCATCAGTTGCAGACTTGATACATGTTCTTTGGTAAACAGAAGGGACAGGTTCATATTAGCTTTTAACAAGTTTCAGCACACAACCTGTGCCACAAATGACCAGTGTGCTGTTGGAACAAATATTGGGCTTGAAATATGGTAGCAATCATACTTGGGTAAAAACCAAAAAGGATTGCTACCATATTTTGGCTTCTGCACCTGCTTAAACATAGGGTAGTTACTATTTTGGCTATTTTGGCTTCTGCACCTGCTTAAACATAGGGTAGTTACCTCAGCTTCCAGGTGGAGACCTGGAGCTAAAGCAATTTTTCTGTGCCTGGGACCAGAAATATAGGAGATTGATTCCCACTGACTCAGTAGCTTCAAGGGTAGAAACTGTAGATAACCTTTAGAGATTAACCGCTGAGCTCAGCTTCTGTATTATCAGCTATCACAAGATAGGGCCACTTTCCAATGTTCCCAGCCTTTAGAATTTAGAACAAAGGAAAATTTCTGTGGTTTGGACCTTTAAAAAGACTTGCCTACACCTGGAACAGTGTGGTCGTGTGGACTCCACCTGCATGTGGTGCTCTCGCGGCCATCCTGGCCAGTTTTTCAATAAATCCTTGCCTGCTTTTTTAAATCAATCATCAGCCTCTGGTGGTCTTATTTTGAACCCAGGTTTTGACCCCACAACAAGCTTTTAGGCAACACTTATAATAAAAAATCAAAGAGCACACTATCCTAAGGAGTAATTAAGCCCTTGATGATTTTACATGATCAAAAAAGTATTATGGCCCAACCGGCATGGCTCAGTGGTTGAATGTCGACCTATGAACCAGGAGATCACAGTTAAGATTCCTGGTCAGGGCACATTCCCAGATTGTGGGCTTGATCCCCAGTGTGGGGAATGAAGGAGGCAGCTGATGAATGATTCTCTCTCATCATTGATGTTTCTATCTCTCCCTCTTCCTTCCTCTCTAAAATTAATAAAAATATACCAATAAAAGAGTAACATGCTAATTGGCTGTACCTTCATGATGTCCACCAGCCAATCAGGAGTATGCAAATTAACCTAACAAAGATGGCAGGTAATTTGCATATATGGGAGCTGAGGGGCCAGGGATGGGGCAGGACACTTGTGTCATTGCCATGGTGACGACACAGGCATTCTGCATCACTCTGGCCACTCTGGGCCTCTGAGAAGCCTAGGAAGGCGGAAAGGTGGCTCCAGTCAGAGCGAAGGCAGTGACAGCCAGGGAAAGGAAGGCCATTCAGGCACGAATCTTCATGCATCAGACTTCTATAATAGTATGTATATATTAAAAATGTTATGCCTCTCACTGGAAAGAAATAATTTGGCCCTTTTAGTATTAACTTACATTAAATGCAGCTTACAGTATTGACATTTGATGCTTTAAGGAATATAAAAATAAGAGTTAATCTAATTCACAGCAGTGGGAAAGGTGGGTTAAATTACCTTAATCTTACAAAAATATGTAGATATTGCAAGTTTTGCCAGCTAAACTAGCTAAGCCAGATGAGTAATATTAAATCCAAATAAATCACACCAGTGCTTAAATGTATATGGACTTACATTTTCCATTTGCTTATTTGGAGATACTTTATGAAAATGAAAGCATCCCACATCCATGTCATGTTTTTAATTGTTCTAGTTGATTTATATCCTCATTTAGTCCCAACACTAATCTCAAAAGGCACTGACTGCATCAATTTCCCATCACCACCCTGCCCACCAATTTGCCCTTGCCTTGTAAGAAAGCTGTGGTTTCTCCAACATGCCAGGCACACTCCCGCTTTAGTGCCCAGACACTACTCATTCCTTTTGTCTGTGGCATTCTTTCCCATGATCTTTATAGCTCACACTCACCTACATTAGTATTATGCTTAAATGTTATCTAAGTAATCCTATAACCTGCCACCTCTTTCTAACTAATCATCATCTAACAAGATAATAAATGAATGTGGTGCACATACACACATATGCATAAATAAAATTTGCTACTAAAAAGTTACCTCCACAGAATCAAGGACTCTGCTTCATTTACTGCTGAAAACCCACTACAAGTGACGCTGAAATATTTGGCGATTGAATACTCTAAAAAGGGTTTTCATTAGAAATACATTAGACAGGAAAGAGAAGTCCCAAATTCACCCAATTTCGGTATTTTTTATATTTAATTACACAATGCCTGAAGAACTCCCATATCCTTATCACTACACCCTCATGATGAAGCTGTCATCTGGTAGTTTGTGAGTAAAACTGGGGTCAAGAGTGGAAACCATTACAAAGTAAAACCTCAAGTTAAAAAATAAAAATGAGGTGGGGGTAGGGATGGGGGTGGGGGGGATTGGGGATTTGTTGCAGGAATTTCAAGCACATTAGACCTGAGCCTGACTATATAGAGAAGTATACTCTCAGAAATTTTTAATCAGTTGGAAATATTCTTTGGCAGCTAGATCAAGTTATTATTCATTCACATTACCCAAATGAACAAATATAACTAAAGGTTTTCTAGGCAAAGTCTTTAACTAATGTTAGCCAAATCTGCCAGGACAGAGCTTCGGTGACTCACCAAAACATCTGTCAGGTAGTCCACACTGTAGTTCTCACCATGCTTCCGTGCCTTGCCGTTGATAGAGAGAGTGTAATTATAGTACTTAGAATTCTTCTCCTATTAAAGAGAGGAAAGTAAAATTTATAATGACATCAGCACATACAATGAAAGCTGAAAACCATGCTACGTTAACTTATACTATTTAAATAGTGGTAAGATATTTTAAAAAGATAATTTTACAAGTCATGTTAAATTAGAATTTTTGGAGGATCCAAGATGGCTGCACAGGTAAACACCTAACCACAGCCGCACACAACAATTTCAATAAAATACAACTAAAATATAAAATGGACATTGCCCAGAGCTACAGGAAAATCGACTGACTGGAAATTCTACAACAAGAAGGAAAGAGAAAACTAGAAGGAAAATCAGAGGAGCTGTAAAAGCCTAAGGTACGGAGACACGAGGCGCATGCGGAGAGGACGGAGCCGGAGAGGAGAGGAGGGGCGGCTGAGTGCCTGGCTGGCGTTCCCTAACAGGAAGGAGATAAAAGCTCCACATTGTACTAAACCCCAGACCCGACAGCACTGAACCCCAGTTCTAGGCCAGACCCTGGGGCCCATGTGCATATAGAGGAAGCCTGGCCTGTGAGGCGGAATCTCGGGGGAGCGGCGAAAGGCAGAGCCCCCGGAAGCGCGCACATTGCGTGCAGAGAAGGGACGGGTGGCTGTGCCGTGGGACTGCTCTGGCGGGAAGGAGACAAAAGCTCCAGACGGCTATGAACCCCACTTCCAACCCCACTTCCAACTGAACTGAACTGAACCCCAGTTCCGGGCTCATTGGGAGAGAGACTAGACTGGTAGCAGGCGAAACTCGAGGGCACCTCACTCTCAGAGGTGCTTGCAGTGAGTACCGAAGGACCCTGAGAAACACTTGAGACTCAGGAGCCGCACAGGGCGTGGCTGACGGAAGCCAAGGCTGTAGGCTCCACCCTGAAACCCCGCCCCATCCAAGCAGAACACAGAGTCTTTTAAGGCTATCAACTCAGGGAAGCTGCAAAAATGCCGAAAAAAGGAAATAGATCACAAACGAAAGAAATGGAGGACAAAAAGCGACTGGATATAGAGTTCAAAACCATGCTTATAAGGTTTTTCAAGAATTTCCTAAGAAAAGATTGATAAGTCCTATGAGAATATGAAAAGGGATCAACTAGAAATAATAAGGAATCAACAACAAATGATAAGGGATCAACAAGAAATAAAGAATACATTGTCTGAAATAAAATATATTATACAAAGTCCTAAAAACAGAATGGAAGATCGCAAGAATCAAGTCAAAGATTTGGAACATAAGAAGCCAGAAGACACTCCTCCACAGAAGCAAGAAGGCAAAAGAATCCAGAAAGTTGAAGATAATGTAAGAAGCCTCTGGGACAACTTCAAGCGAACCAACATCAGAATTATGGGGGTCCCAGAAGATGAGAGAGAGCAAGATATCAAAAACATACTGAAAGAAATAGTGACAGAAAACTTCCCCCACCTGGTGAAAGAATTAGACTTACAAGTCCAAGAAGCGCACAGAACCCTAAACAAAAGAAATCTAAAGACCACACCAAGACAAATCATAATTAAAATTCCAAGAGCAAAAGACAAAGAGAGAATATTAAAAGCAGCAAGAGCAAAGCAGGCAGTTACCTATAAAGGCACACCCATACGATTGTCAGCTGATTTCTCAACAAAACCATGCAGGCCAGACGGGAATGGCAAGAAATATTCAAGGTGATGAATAGTAAGAACCTACAGCCAAAGATTATCTACCCAGCAAAGCTATCACTCAGAATTGAAGGCCAGATAAAGAGCTTCACTAATAAAAAAAAAAAAAAAAAAGCTAAAGGAGTTCATCACCACCAAACCAGAATTATATGAATTGCTGAAGGGGGTTCTTTCAGAAGAGAAAGTAAATAAAGATAAAAACTATGAACAACAAATACGTAACTATCAACAAGTGAATCTAAAAACCAAGGAAATTTAAAAAAAAATCTGATGAACAATATTAACTGTTGAATATAATAGAATCAGAGGTATGGAAGGGGAGTGAACTGACAATTCTTGGGGAAAAGGGGAGAGGGGGATGTGGGAAGAGACTGAACATAAACTGTGCACCTATGGATGAGGATAATGGGGGGTGGGAAAGGGCAGAGGGTGGGGTGGGAACCTGTTGGAGGGGAGCAATGGATGGGGGGGGGGGAAAGAGGAACATTTGTAATAATATGAACAATAAAGATTTATTTTAAAAAATTAGAATTTTTGAATAGGGTTTTAATTAACTACTAGCATAGTTTCAATAATATGTCCTACTTTTTATTTATTTTTATTTTTTGTTAAACCTCATGCAAGGATATTTTTTTCCATTGGATTATTTTAGAGAGTGGAAGGGAGGGAAAGAAGAGGTTGGGGGGAGAGAGAGAGAAAAAAGAAACATCATGCCTCCCACACACATTCCAACTGGAGTCAGGGATCGAACCGCAACCCAGGTACATGCCCTTGACTGGGAACTGAACCTGCATGGGCTGATGCTCTAATCACTGAGCAACACTGGCCAAGCCTGTCCTACTTTAAAAAAAACAAACGAACAGGAGTGGATCAGGTAGAACAGCAAAATATGTTGCTAAATGCCCACAAAGGAATTACTTGCAAATCAAAAGACTTTACTTCAGGGAGATGAAACAGCCCATCATAAAAGCAAACCAAGTTATGTCAATATCAGAGCTAAATCATGGAGTACACACATTTGACATCTGTGGGCTGTAATCGTCACTGACTTCAGTAATCACTCACCAAGGCATACCAGTAGCTCCATCCCGGAGGAACGTATTCCAGCCCACCAGCAGCTGGGGCTCCATACTGAAAAGCAGACAAGCAGGGCATTAGAAGTCCTCAGACATAAAGAGACACAAACAGGACACGTGTAGAATCTTTTTAGATCAGTCCCTGAAACACGGCAGGCACTCACTTTTCCCAAACACACAAACCAGCAAAAATAAAGGACACCATATTCCCAGAAACTTCTGAAGTATGAGCTGGCAAAATTCAGGCCAAATCTAGCTGCTGTTTTGTATGGCCAGCAGGCTAAGATTTTTTTTCCCCCAGCCATTAAAAAAATATACAGTCCAATCCTAAAAAGAATATAACATGTGACAGCTACATGAAATTGAAATTTCAGTGGTGATAAAATTTATTGGAACACAGCCACACTCATCAGTTTATGTAACGTCTATGGCTGCTTTCATGCTACGATTATGATAGAGTTGAATACTTACAACAGAGCCATACAGCTTGTAAAGCCCAAATTATTTACTTCTGGCCCTTTACAGAAGATGGCCATATGGCTTAGGCCACAGGGCTCATTTGCTGAATAGTCCAACTGACCTTGAGACTATCAACAGTGAAAATAACCCAACTATGAGCTACCAGCCAATAGTTTCTGTTGTCTTGATGATGAAATCTACTTTTGGAACTGAGCAAGTGAAGAGACCATAGAATCATCCCACTCTACCTCAGCAAGGTTTAATACTGCCCACTTAAGGCAGAATTTAGCTTCTGAGAATGAAATCTTTGTAGTTTATATATATTTAAATATATATTTTTATTGATTTCAGAGAAGAGGGGAGAGGGAGAGGGAGATAGAAACATCAATGATGAGAGAGAATCATTGAGAGGCTGACTCCTGCATGTCCCCTTCTGGTGATTAAACCAGCTAACCTGGGCATGTGCCCTTGACTGGAATCAAACCTGGATCCCTTCAGTCTGTAAGCCAATGCTATATCCACTGAGCAAAGCCAGCTAGGGCTAAATCTTTGTATTTTAAAGAATTTCTCTTAATTTTGTATGTATTAGATGCTCTTTAATATGCAAAGTAGTATAAGTTTTCTTTATGACCCATAGTCTTAACACAATGACCTAGTACCTGTAATTATATATTTCTCATTATTCTTTTCAAACTGAGTCATCTTCTTTCCAACCCACAAGAATGCAAATTCCCCTATTTATTGTGGGGAGTGGGAAAAGTGAAAAAAAAAATCAGATCAGATATTTAGCAACCAGATAAAAATATATAAGAAAATGTACATCTTCTCTCTGTCCTGCACTCCCAGTTTTCCTATTGAGTTAACCCCAAATACCCTCAAACACACTATTTCCTTTAAACTTAAATTCTGACTAAAAGCGAAGGCCAGTGAGGCCATGAAATCTGGCCTTGGCAGGTCACAATGCGGTCTCTCTCCTTCTAGGTCCAAATAGCTGCACATTGACACTCAGTCACCTGATTTAATGGCCTGACTGTCCCTGGTTCTGGGTGCTTTCTCTTTATCACTCATCTGTCTACATTCTGTTCCCACTTTTCAGGTTACAAAATGGGTTAAGCCTAAATTGAAATTCAGGAAAGATACTAAATTGTAATTCAAGAAATACTCTTCATTCTGATCCTAATACAGAGGAAATGGAAACAAAGATAACATGACAGCCACATGACAAGCAGAGTTCTTCAGTAAAAGGGGAAGATGTACACAGCAGCAGTCCTAGGATAATTATTATTATTATTTTAATCCTCACCTCAGAATTTTAACTTGTTTTTTAATCTCCACCTGAGGACATGCTTAGAGGGAGAGGAAGAGGAAAAAAGAGAGGGAGAAAAACATCAATTGGTTGCCTTCCCTATGAGACAGGACCAGAGATTGAACATGCAATCCAGGTATATGTTCTGATGGGGAATTGAACCAGCAACCTTTCACTGAATAGGAAAAGGCTCAACCGACTGAGCCACTCCAGTTGGGGTATGACAGTGGTCGGCAAACTGCAGCTCGCGAGCCACATACGGCTCTTTGGCCCCTTCAGTGTTCTAACGGCACTCGCCCAGGCTGAAAACCGACTTCTGCGCATGGGCCACGAAGTTTCAATTGCACTGTACGTGCGCACCCGCATGTGGTATTATGTGGAAGAGCCACATTCAAGGGGCCAAAGAGCCGAATGTGGCTCAGGAGCCGCGGTTTGCCAACCACTGAGCTAGGATATGCTTTTATTGATTTTTTTTTTTTTTTAATGGAACGCTTGCTAAATTTGTGCAGGGACCATGCTAACCTTTTCTTTATTGTTCCAATTTTAGTATGTGTTGCTGAAGTGAGCACTGATTTTTTTTTTTTTTAGAGAGAAAAGGGGGGGATGGGAGGAGAGAAAAGAAAGGAGGGAGGGGAAAAAACCAAACAAACATCAATCAACTGCCTCCTGTATAGATCTGACCGGGATCAATCCTGCAATCTAGGTATGTGCCCTGACCAAGAATCGAACCCATAACCTTTTTGGTGTAGAGGATGATGCTCCAACCAACCGACCCACGCGGTTGGGGCAGTCCTAGGATCATTTTTCAACAAATGCTCCTGAGACTATTTAAAAGAATAAATACAGTACCCAAATGATGTAAATATGTTTATATAAGTTCTTATTTATGAGCAGATTAGAAAACATTTGCCAAAAATCCTTTAAACATGACTTGAACAGATACTTATTTAAAAAAAAAAAAGTAGCATGAATTCTATTAGTAATTCACATTTAAAAAGCTGTTATTAGCTGAAACCAGTTTGACTCAGTGGTAGAGCGTCGGTCTGCAGACTGAAAGGTCCCTGGTTCGATTCCGGTCAAGGGCATGTACGTTGGTTGCGGGCACATTCCCAGTAGGGGGTGTGCAAGAGGCAGCTGGTCGATGTTTCTCTCTCATCGACGTTTCTATCTCTCTCCCTTCCTCTCTGTAAAAAAATCAATAAAATATATATTTAAAAAGCTGTTATTAAAACAAGGGGGGGAGAGGAATAATTAGACCATTCAACATACCTCATTTAAGTATTTTCCTGCAAAAAAGGTCTGATAACCACACAATGATCTGAGAATTGCTGGGAAAGTATTTGGTTCTTGGATCTTCTGCCAAGACTTACTACTGCAGTTTCCCTCTAAAGTGTTGTTAACAACGTGATGATTATGTGGGTACTTCCCTGTCAGGATACTGGCACGGCTCGGGCAGCAAAGAGCACTTGGCACATACTACAAAGGAAACAGAAGCAAAAAGAATAAAGTTACACAAGAAAGATGAATTTCTCATAATTTCTAAAAAGAATTAAAGAAAGCTACTCAATATTTTAACTTCAAATATCTAGTTTCCCCTTATAGAAATATTCTTTGCATATGACACATTTCCAAGTTGCCATATGTAATATAATAACAGTAAAGCAGAAAAAACAAACCAAGAAACAGACTTCTTTTTTTAGCTGGTTTCTTTCTGCAGGATAACATGCTAGTCTAACCTCACCTCAAATAAATGTTTACATACAAGGAGCACAGCGTAGTGGGAGCTAGGTCTTAACTAAAGATAAAGACTACCAGTACTTGAGTCCTAACTGGTTTGGCTCAGTGGATAGAGCGTCAGCCTGCGGACTGAAGGGTCCCAGGTTCTATTCCTGTCAAGGGCATGTACCTTGGTTGCAGGCACATACCCAGTAGGGAGTGTGCAGGAGGCAGTTGATTGATGTACTATCTAACCCTCTATCTCTCTCCCTTCTTCTCTCTAAAAAAAAAAAAATCAATAAAATATATTTTATAAAAAAGACTACTACTTGAATTTAATGTAGTTGAGAAGTAGAAGGTCATGTTCAGGCTAATCTGTAGCTTTATGTATTTCCTGTATCATTTTATACATGAAAGAGATTTTTTTTTCTACTTTAATTATGTTTCTATTTGCTATTCGATACTATGATCAATAGACTTACCTCATTCAACCCAATAATATCTGTGTAACTCTTAATGCACATTTAACAGAAGGGTAATACTAGCTTATACTTCTACCAGCAGAGAAGGCAGGCTCATTTGAGCATACCTTTGTCAAAATGACATAGTATTCTTTTTAAATACTTAGTATTTATTTGGCCTTTTATTGGATTTGACATTTTTAAATACTGGTGAACATTCTCCACATGCACAATGTCCAACTGTGCTTATGGGAATGGTCTGTTCAAGCGCTTTGCACATTTTTTCCTCTTGAGCTACTGGCTTCTTGTTACATAAAACTGGAATTAAGAAAGGATTCAGTCATGCTACAAATACTTCCCGTTTTTTACTTTTGCCTTTTAATTTTGTTAGATGTTTGACTTTTGTAATTTTCACATTGGCAACTTTTAATTCTTTCCATTTTTTGTTTCCTAACCTAATTTTTGGGAATTCCACACTGTTTATTGTATTTTCATATTACATTTTAGTATCCAGTAGAGCAATTTCTTTCTTTAAAAAAAATTATCCTAATTGTTCTAACCTACTTATTATTCCAGATAACTTTAGATTCACTGAATTCAGCATAAAAAAGTCTTTTTAAAAAATATATATTTTATTGATTTTTAACAGAGAGAAAGAGAGAGAGATAGAAACGTCGATGAGAGAGAAACATCGACCAACTGCCTCTTGCACACCCCCTACCTGGATGTGCCCGCAACCAAGGTACATGCCCTTGACCAGAATCGAACCTGGGACTTTTCAGTCCACAGACTAACGCTCTACCACTGAGCCAAACCGGCTTCGGTGCATAAAAAAATCTTATTGGGATTCTGATTAGAATAAATACTTCATAATCTTGTTTCTTCCCATGGAAAGTAATGTGCATGTCTTCATATTAAGTAGCTTTTATTATATCACTTACTAAGTTCTGTAACTTTATATAAGTCTTAAAGAACCATTACTAGCTACCACTAGCTTATTTCCAGAGTCTGAATTTTCCTGCTATGTGAATGAGATTTTTTCTCCCTCCCATATTTCTCTAACTGGTTATATGGAAGTGTGTGTGTTTTTTGTTGTTGTTGTTGTTGTTTGGTTGGTTGTTTGTTTGATTTCTACCTTACTAAGTTCTATTAAAAGTTTTCCAACAATTCTCATTTTCTAGGTAGACAATCCCAAACAAGTGGAAATAATAATTTTGTCTTTTCCCAATAGTTTTTTACCTCTTAATTTTGGAAGACTATGCAACGACTAGAGTTCAGAACAATATTAAGCAAGAGGTATTAGCCCTTTGTCTCCCTAACAACAGTGACCAGAGTATTTCACTTTAACTACAGCTGTGCTATTTGTCTGAAATATTCATCATAAGGATGCATTCTTCCAACAGCTTAATAAATTACCAGGAAAAGATGCTAAAATTTCAGAGAATTTTCAATCATCTATTGGAATGAACATATAATTATCCTTCTTTCACTACCAATTCCATGTTGGTGGACAATGTAATAACCACCACTGTATAGTACAGTCAGCCCTCTGTATGTGTGGGTTCCGAATCCACAGATTCAACCAACCTCAGATTGAAAATATTCAGGGGAAAAACATTACATTGTTGCAGACGTGAACAGTATAATTAGGTCTATGATGTGGTTGCATTTTGTACTGAACTTGTACAGTCTTTTTATTGTCACTATTCCCTAAACAATGCAGTATAACAACTGTTTACATAATATTTCCATTGCATTAGGTATTATCAGTAACCTAGAGATAACGTAAAGTCTACAGGAGTATGTGCCTAAGTTACATGCAAATACTATGCTATTACATGTAAGGGACTTGAGCACCCACAGATTTGGTATCTGTGGGGGTGGGGGTGGTCCTGGAACCAATCCCTCACAGATATCAAGGGATGACTGAAATCAATTATAAGTCAGGCAGGGATACAAGTGGTTGCTTTATATGTATAAATTCACTTAACCTCACATAAACCCTGAGATAAGTTTTAGTACTCTCATTTATAAATGTGGAAAACAAGGGCCAGAAAGCTTAATAACTTGCCCAAGATCACACAGCTGGAAAAGAGGCAGAGAGCATTTGAAACTAGGCAGCTGGCTCCAGAATCCGCACTCTAAAGCACAACATTAGGCTGCTACTCAATAGGCTACCAATTACTTGTGTATGTGCATGGTTCTCAAGTTTGCTAGCATTTGAGTCTCTGTACCTATGTTCATATATACATATATTTGTTTTATATATTCACACATACATACAATTGTTGTTGGCTTTGTTGCTACTGACTTTGTCAGGTTTGGCTTCCATGGTTAACTGGGTTTTGTAAAGGGGTCTGCAAGCTTTTACCATGGAACAGTAAACATAGCATTAATGTTATTTGATGCTTACAATCATATTCAAAACTCAAACAGTCAGGTTTGAAATAAAATTCTCAAGTTCTAAGTTGTAGAAAAGACTGGCTTAGAAATTGCCTGCAGAATATCTCCAATTGGTAAGAAGTAGTATTACAATTAACAGAATTTATCACATTAAATAAGGTCCCTCCTTCAAATCAGGCTTTTAATTAGGGAAGAAAAAACAGACTACCCCAAAGAGAGTGTTTCTTCTTAGAACATACACACAATTAAAGTTTAACAAAATTAAATTGGCTTTAAAACTTACAGCACTGGAGAAAGTCATCCCCATCTCTCCGATGAGAGCCTTGGTTTTCTTTAGTGGTGTCTGTAAAGCAAATAATTACCTGTTAAACTATTTCTTTCAATCAACTACAATACACAGACCAAAATTCGTGGGTTTTGCATCTTATCTCAATCTCTTATTCCCAAGTGATCAGCTCCATCTGACCCTAAGAAACAGCCAAGAGAGTGATTCCGGAGATAAAGCAAACAGGTTTGGTTAGTCCGTTCTTTCCTATGCAAAGTTCAGGGCTTCATAATGCTTGCAGGAGGGGAAAGTTCATAGCTGATGGTATTTTTCTAGCAGTGCTGATTTCAATGTAATGAAATTTTGTGCCCTTATCTCATTTGTCACCAGACTCCTTAAGAGACAGGGCAGAACTATCTCCATTAATTCATCTTCTGAAGTAGGATGTGGGAAATGATATAAAAGGAGCTTTCCACCTTTACAAGTTATAACACTTAGGTTCTGAAAGCCAGCAAGAATGAGGCTCAGAGATTAAGTCAAATATCAGTCATTCAGTGGTGGAGCCCAGATGCACACTTCTGACTGCAAACGCACAGCCCTCTGCATTAGACAGATCACCACCTCAGGTAAGAACTTGAACCAGGTGGCAAACAGGTATACACAGAACCCTGTCAAGCAAAAGACTACTCAGAAATTATTTTGTTTATATTCTTGCTTTTTATCATTTATTCAAAATCTAAGATCCTGACAAATATAGATGATAATTAGTATCAAATCCTACAGTGAGGATAAAAGTCTAAAAATGGTCATTTAAATACAAATAAAAAGGACCATAAATCTGAATAAACTTTATTCAGATACCACATAGCAAGAAAGGACCATTGAAGAGACTCATTTTAGTTGTATTAGGAGAGTCAATTCATGATGATTCTCAAGTACCTTTGAAATCTAGGACCATATTAAATGCAGCTGTAAGTGTATTTTGTTGTATAACAATTCCTTAAAGACAATCCAAATATATAACTGTGTTAACAAGAGCCTCATTTTCAATACTGTATAAATTACTTTCCCCCATTGTTTTGCATAGATAGTAGAAAAATTAAGGAACCCAAAAGCTCAAAAGGATGAGAATTCTAATATATTCAAGAAGAACTTTGACCCTGGTCAGTGTGGCTCAGCAGTTGAGCATTGATTCAGAAACCAAGAGGTCATTGGTTTGATTCCCAGTCAGGGCACATCTCCAGATTGTGGGCTCAATCCCCAGTGTGGGGCAGGTAGGAGTTAGCCGATTGATGATGTTCCTGTCTAATCAATGTTTCTAGCACTCTAGCTTTCCTTCTCCCTTCCTTTCTCTTTGAAAAACAAACAAACAAAAAAAACCAAACAACTACTTTGATCATTTCATGAGTAGATGCATAACGGGTCCCCAAGAAATGCTAGAGACATAGGTCTTTGGTAACCTTCAGAAACAATGTCACCAGTCATTATCTCCCATAAAGCATCCCTCCATGCTACACTCAGGTACAGAACATTGGGCTGCATAAAACATTAGATGGATGAAGAATCTGAGGTACAGAGAGGATAAAGGGAGGGGAAATAAGTGCAGGGAGGGTGAGGAAAAGATCCATGTGAGTTGATTATATCTGACCTAGCTATCAGACTGTCTGATAAATATGAAAAGTTACTGAGGAATATCTGATTTACAGTAAGACTCTATTGTGTGACTAGACTCTACTAGTATAACATTTATTAAACACTTAATTTGTGCCAGGCACTGACTGGTCTTGGCAATAGAAATGGATAAAGATAGAAGGTCCCTGCCCTGAAGATCCTTGCACTCTTGGGGGCTTAAACAACTAACAGGTAAACAAGCAAGCATTCTGGGTGGTGAAAGTGCTATGAACAGAATAAACCAGGATGATATGCTTACAGCTGGTGGGAGGAAAAGTGGAAAACACTTTAGGTGATAGGTCAGGGATGGCCTCTTTCAGGAGGTAACCGGTACTGAGTCACATGATGATGAGTCAGCCCCACAAACGTGCAGGATAAGACGCTTCTAGGCTGAGTGAACAGCAAGTACAAAGGCTGCCAGAGAAGGACAGAGGCACGTGTGAGTGACAAAAAGCAGGGCACGTGTGGCAGAAGCAGTGCAATCAGTAATGCTGGGAGGGGGGGGGGGGGAAGAAGCCAAAGAATTGATGGAGGGCTGCACAAGAATCTAGTTTAATGTAAGAGATTTATATTAATAACCATAATCTTTAGATTATTCATAGTACAAATGATAAGCATAAAATCTGTGCTTAATCAAGTAAGTGCCAGGCAAGAAACCCCACTGTACTGAAAATGTGTATGTGTGTCTGAATGCTAACATGGATCCTTTAAGATCTAAGCAAATAAAATGACTGGTGAGGTTAAGACCATACCACATTCTTCATGAAGCAGCCAATCTTATATACTCATATATAGGTAAATGTGTTACTTTACTACATCCAAAGCAAAATCCCTTCCATAAAAATCCCAAGGAGTCATTTACTTTCCTAGCTTCCATATACACCTGCTTTGAAATAAAGTTTGGTAATTCTATAGCTAATTTTTCCTTTTCTTTTAAAAAAAATATATATATTTTATTGATTTTTTACAGAGGAAGAGAGAGGGATAGAGAGATAGAAACATCGATGAGAGAGAAGCATCGATCAGCTGCCTCTTGCACACCCCCTACTGGGGATGTGCCTGCAACCAAGGTACATGCCCTTGACCGGAATCGAACCTGGGACCTTTCAGTCCGCAGACCAACGCTCTATCCACTGAGCCAAACCGGTTTCGGCAAACTTTTCCTTTTTCAATGGAAAACCATTCTGCTTTAAGCAAACTAAGACATCATGTAAATATTTATTCTTCCCCTACATTTCATTACAACTCCTCCCCTCACTTCCTTGAAATTTTAACCCTATGTCAATTTTTCTAGAGTGAATGATTTTTTAAAAACCATCCTGTGCTTCTGTGAAAAACAGGATGTCCACCACACCATAATTACATTTAAATAAAATCAAGAAATTGAACCCAGGCCAGTGTAGCTCAGTTCCAGGGCACATATCCAGGTTGGGTGTTCAATCCCCGGTCAAGGTGCGTATTGGAATCTCTCCCACTGATGTTTCTCTCTCTCCTTCGTCCCCTCGCTCTAAAATTGTAAGTATGTCTTCAGGTGAGGATTAAAAACAAATAATTCAAGAAATCTACAATAATAGTTCCCTGGGTAAAAAAACAACAACAAACAAACAAAAAACAACAACCTAAAAAGGAAATCCCAGACACCTGCAACAAATACAATTTAATATTAAAGAGGACACTACCACATAAAAGACTATTTCAAAGATGACAGGTTTCACATTAAGCCACAATACAAGTGTTACAATCCTTTCATCTGAATTAATCTTTGGGGATTGACCAGTTAATTTTGCCAACTGTGGTGGCAATTCATAATCCTTTTTTGGGGGGGACCAAGAAATGAAAATATATACAAAGTATTTGTTACATGTAAATTAAGGAGTTCCCTGACCCCACTGGTGCTCCTGAATGTCACCTGAAGAATCTCTGACCTGTGGTGTAAGTAACGCTGATGTAGGCATGCGGAATAACATCTGTAAGACAGTATTATCGAACAGGAGAGAAAGCATGGGGCTCTGAGGTCATTACACACTAGGCTTTGTCCCTCACTAGCTGGCCAAGCTATAGCCCCCTCTAAATTTCAGTTTCCTCTTCGTTAAGATAAGGATAATACCTACAGCAGAGGACTCCTGCGATGACTGAAGCACAAATATAAAACACCTCATACTCTGGCTCCAAGTAGAATCTCAAATGCTATATTGTCTTAGCTCTTCCCCTTTAAGTCCTGTTTGACAGCTAGTCATCAAATATTCTGTAAAAGCCTACAAGAGAAGCAAGAATTCTCCAGAGTTGCAGCACTAAATTCAACTTGTTCCCTCCACACAATTTTGGCTCTTCTCTCCAGTACAAACACCTATAAAAAAGAAACTTCTGTGGTTTAAAGAAGCAAATATGACTAACATGCTAAGGGGAAGAGACCACATCTGTGGCCTACAAAAATGAAAGAAAATGAATTCTGAACACCACATCTTGTATTTAAATGGTGAACTTTGTTTTCAACACAAATGTGAAAGCTTTTCCTTTTTTTAAAAACAAAACAAAACAAAACAAAACACAACACACTTTTCTTTCTTTTTTAAAATATACTTCCTTATTTATTTCAGGGAGGAAGGGAGAGGGAGAGAGAGAAACATCAATGATGAGAGAGAATCACTGAGCTGCTGCCTTATGCACCCCCCCCCCCAACTAGGCTTCGAGCCCACAACCTGGCATGTGCCCTTGGCCCGAATCGAACCCGGGACCCCTTAGTCCGCAGGCCAACGCTCTATCCACTGAGCAAAACCAGCTAGAGCGAAAGCTTTACCTTTCAATTACGCTTCAGCCACTAAACTATTATTAATTTTTGATAGAGGTGGCTTGTTTTTCCTGGATAAAATACTTTTCAAGGATACAAGAGGTATTTTCTTTCTTTCTTTCTTTCTTTCTTTCTTTCTTTCTTTCTTTCTTTCTTTTTTTTAAAAAAAAAACAAAAAACAAGGAGTTTTGTGAGGAGAAGTGTAGCTGTTAGAATGGTGGGGAAAAAAGAACAAAATAAAATCCAGGAGGGCAATTAAGTCAAGACTTTTCAATGTCAATGTGACTGAATAGAAATTAAAAGGCAATGAGGCGTATGTGTTAGGAATGTGAAGTCAAAATGCAACATGCAATGATGTCTTAAAACATCAGCTAGAAAAGAATCTCTTGAATACAGCCCCGAGTTAATATTTTCATTAACAACCCAGAAATGCATATACATATGGATATGGATATGCTTAACCTTTACCGCATGTACCACACAGACATTTTCTTATTTTCGGAGTCTGTTCCACAGGAAAGTGAAAATGCTAGTACTTACTAAACTGATTTCACAACTCGCTTATGGACAGGATGAAAGACACTGAACTAGGGTGTTACTACACAGTTTGGAACCTCTTGCCTGAAGTGTTTTTCATAATCTCAGCATTTTGCTGAAAGCAAAAAGAGAAGTGAAAGCAAGCAAGAAGCAAAAAAAGCACTTGTTCTTAAAAAAGAGGAATTCCAGACCCAGAATCAGAGAACTAGTCAGGATTCTGACTTGACTGCCTCCACTATTTATGTGCCTCGGGCAAACCACTTTCTGTGCTCTCCTGAGTAGGGGCTTGGGTGGATACTCCTGAGGGTCATAAACATCTAGACTCTTAACGATACAGAGGCAAAATCAACTCTGGAAAAGAATGAAGTCTCATGACAACACCCAGATGCTACAAAATGGAACACGGACGGTATCGAATGCCATCAGCCAGGTGTTCAATTAGGCTAATTGGATTTTCTTGATTCTTGGGAGGCAAAGCACACCCTGAATAAATAGTTCGAAACCTACCCACCAGATTAGTTCATTTCAGCACTTGTCTTTATAAATAGCAGGCACAGACACTGCACCCAGGGACAAAGGCGGGGGTGGCCTAGGTCCTCACACAGGGAAGGGGCTGTACTAGTCTTCTAATCCAAAAAATACTCAAGGCTTGCATCTCCTCGGCCAACACCTGCTCCTCACGGGTTCTGCCCACCCCTAACTGGTGTCCACCTGTGCATCCCGAGATCACGAGGGAACGCAGGCTCCGCAGCCGTCAGGTCCAGACTAGAAGCTCCTTGTAGCGCGTGTCTATGTGTGTGTGTCACCCTCCAAAAGACGCTGGAGCAAGAGGAGGAAATAGAGTCCTGCGGCCCCTCAGTCCTGCGTCCAGGGCCTGGTGAGGCCAAAGCAAACCTACCCAGGGTCCGGTTAGCCGGTCCAGGGGGCCGGGGCGGGAATGGGGAAAGGGGGCAAGACACCGGGAGAGGGAGAGGGAGAGGGGCGGAGCGGGAACAGGAGTTACCATGCCGCCGAGCACTTCGTCCTGGTCGTCGGTGAGGAGCAGCACCACGTTGGGCCTCCGAGAGCCGGCCGCCGCCGCCCGGGAGCCCCCCAGGCAGCAGCCCGGCAGCAGCGGCAGCAGCAGGACCAGCAGCGCCGGGCGGCAGGAGCGCAGGTGGCGGGGGCTGTGCCGCCCGGGCCCGCCTGCGCCCAGAGGCAGGAGCCGCATGGCGGACAGGGCTCCGGAGGACACTCCGGAACGGTGTGTGGGGGGACGCGCAGGTGGCTGAAGGGCGAGAGGCCGAGGAGCAGCGGGGAGAGTCGGCAAACGGGGAGAGCCGGGGTCTGGGTTCAGGCGTTTTCTCCCCAGGCGCGGTCACGTGAGCGGGGACGGGGGTGGAGCGCGCCGCGCGGTCACGTGGGGCGGCGGGGCGGGGCGGGGTGGGCCGCGGGCGGAAAAGAGGGAGGGGCGGAGCCAAGGCAGGGAACCCGGAAGTGGGCCGAGACTGGGGAGAACCACTGAGAGCTTGGGCTCTGGTGTGGTTTTGGTAGGACCAGTTTCTGAGCACTTGGTGCAAAAACTGTAAGACGGAGCGAGGATAAGATGAAAAGGAGGAGGGAGAGAAAGGAGGAATGTACCTAGTGAGATCAGCTGGTAGGCAGAGTCTGGGTTTTACCTTGTTTAATCCCCAAGACAAAAAACACTAACAGAGGACCTTTATATTTAACCGGTTTTGATTTTCTTTGCAACTCAGCTCTTCGATTTGGAGCTGGATTCCAAGTCAGCTCTCTCTCTCTCTCTCTCTCTCTCTCTCTCTCTCTCTCTCTTTCTCTCTCTGACTCTGTTAAAAATATATTTTATTGATTTTTTTACAAAGAGGAAGGAAGAGGGATAGAGAGTTAGAAACACTGATGAGAGAGAAACATCAATCAGCCGCCTCCTGCCCCACCCCCTACTGGGGATGTGTCCACAACCAAGGTACATGCCCTTGACCTGAATCGAACCTGTGACCCATGAGTCTGCAGGCTGACACTCTACCCACTGACCCAAATGGGTTAGAGCACTCTCTCTTTTTTAAATTCTCTCCCGAGGATATTTTTCCAGTGATTTTAGAGAGTGTGAAAGAGAGAGGGAAAGACAAAAAGAAAAATCAATGTGAGAGAAACACATAGATTGGTTGCCACCTGCATGAGGGGGAAAGACTGCAACTGAGGTACATGCCCTTGACCAGAATGGGCTCTGAGACCCTTCCCTCCCTAGGCCAAGGCTCTACCCACTGAGCCAAACCGGCCAGGGATCCAAGTCAACTCTCTTAATTCCAAGCCTGGTTATATGTTACTTCTCGGCTGTTAATAGTGGTTTCAAACAAACCAACAATGTAGTGTATCCTGGCAGTCTAATGTTCCTTGATGAGTTTTCAAATATTTACCCTAATATTTCTTAGTGAATTTTCTGTTTGATTTTCACAAGCAGATATGTTGATTGATTGTAGAGAGAGGGTGGGGGAGAGAAACATCCATGTGAGAGAGAAACATAAATCCATTGCCTCTTGTTAGTGCCCCAGATATGACCCTGGTCCTACAATCTAGGCAAGTGTCCTGACCAGGAATCAAGCCAGGACCTCTGCCCGGCCTTATGTGGGATGATGCTCCAACCAACAGAGACACACTGGCCAAGGCATCTTGGTGAATGTTTGAAAGCCACCTTAGAAGATGTTGGAGGATGTGGTCATTGAATAAAAACAAAACCATATTAAGCAATCTTTAGAAAGTCCCATAAAACCAGAGCTCCCAGAGTGTCTGTGGTGGCTCTAGACCTGCTCTACCATGCCCTTCTGCTGAAATATAGGAAAACAGAAACTTTCCCGGCAAGGTGAGTGGCCAAGCCTTATTCCCAACTCAGAACAATAGGTTGTACCTCCTGGCTTCTAACAAAGTGTATATATATATATTTTTTTTTAAAATATATTTTATTGATTTTTCACAGAGAGGAAGAGAGAGATAGAGAGTTAGAAACATCGATGAGAGAATCATCGATCAGCTGCCTCTTGCACACCCCCCACCGGGGATGTGCCCGCAACCAAGGTACATGCCCTTGCCCGGAATCGAACCCGGGACCCTTCAGTCCACAGGCCGACACTCTACCACTGAGCCAAACCGGTCCCGGCAAAGTGTATATTTTCTAAGCTGGATCATCCAACACAAAAAGTCTTTTAAACCTTGTGAAAGCCCTGTACCAGAAGGTAAAAATATTTGTGGAAGTACTAAGTGTCATATATACAGCTATAAGTGTTATACAAAAGAAGTATTGTGCCAGTTTTCTACTAGTGGCACCTTCTGAATCGGCACCGAAAAGAGGATCCCACGTAGAAACAGGATGTGTTGAGGGCACGGAGATTAAGTGTAGGGTGGCCGAGGCAGCTGGAAGTCGTGTGGCAAAGTTAGAAAGAGGAGGAAGCTTTGTAGACAAAAGGCTTCATAAATCTGCACAGATATCCTTTCGAGACTTTGTTGAACTCTAAGGTGTATTTTATCGGATAAAGGCACCAGACGGTAAGACAATGAATAACAAAGGAGATGTAATAATTCTTTAAAGGAGGTGGAGACGTTTGAGAACCAGCCAGAAGGGAAAGTCTTCCTTAATCACAAGGGACATTGAGTTGAGAACCCAGGAAGGTTATACCTTACTAGTCGAGCTAAACTATCATAAATGAAAGGTACTGTACACCTATGATAACAAAATTTAAATACAAGTCTCAAAATATTTAAGACTTGCCTAACAAAACAAGGTCTCTATTCTTTAAGGGAAGATGAGAAAGTCTAAATACTCAACAACATAAAATTCACAATAGAAGTTCCTGCATCCAATAGAAAAATACACAGGCCACCAAACAGAAAAATATGACCAGTATCCAGGAGAAAAATCAGTAATAAATGACAGAGATGATGGAATTAAAGCAAGGTGATAAAACACCTACTATAACTATGTGTTACCATATAGTTTAAACCAGCGGTCACCAACTGGTGGTCCGTGGACCATTGGTGGTCTGTGAGATCCAAAAGTTTGGCAATAGTTGGCTTTAAAAAAATCTAGACTGCCTGGGCATCCTGTAGGACCCCCTACCCATCCATCACATTGATGACATCATGTTGATTGGGCAGGATGAACAAGAGGCATGCTGGAATCTTTGTTATGACACATGTGCTCTGGAGCATGGGAGATAGACCTTATGAAAATTCAGGAAGTTGGCACTTCAGTAAGAATTTTAGGGGCCCATGGATATGCCAGGACATGGTCTCTAGAGTAAAAACAAACTGGCGTATTTTGCATCTCTTACTACAAAGCAGCAGCAGTGTTTGGTAGGCTACTTTTGTCTTCTGTATGCAACCCATCCTATCTAGGAATACTGCCCCAGCCTACATAAACTAGTTCCCCCTTTTCTGCAGTTTTATTTTCTGCCATTTCAGTTACCCACTGTCAGGAAAAATTAAATGGAGAATTCCATAAATAGACAATTCGCAAGTTTTAAATTGCACCCCATTCTGAGTAGCTTGATGACATCTCGCACTATTTCCTCTCTGCCCCACACGGTGGGCATCCCTTTGCTCAGCATACCCATCAGTTAGTCACTTAGTAGCCATCTAGGTGATCAGATCTACTGTTTAGGTTTCGCAGTGCTTGTGTTCAAGTAACCATATTTTACTTAATAATGACTAAAGCACAAGAGTAGTGATGCTGGCAATTTGAACATGCCAAAGAGAAGCCATAAAATGCTTCCTTTAAGTGAAAATATATGTATCTATAAGAAAAAAAAAAACCCATAGTATATATGGGGCTCAATATTATCCTTGGTTTCAGACATCCACTTGGGGTCTTGGAACATGTCTCCCAACCCCTTATAAGGGGGGACTGTTGTACAGAGTGTCATGAAAGGCTGTCATCTTTGAGAGACCCCTGGGGGTGGAAAGCGCTCAGTAGCAGGCAGGGCTGGCTACATAATCTGCAGGGCCCTTTGTGAAGATCTCCGTATGACATATTTATACTCAGCAGAAATCACTTACCATGGAAGTGGCACTAAACAACAAATTAGAAAAAACGGCTTAGTCAGTTGTTAGCCAGCCTTTGCCAGTGGCTACCTAAGTGCTGGTATAAAGACACCTCATTTACTCTCAGAAGAATGTCACTTGAGAGAATTTTGGTTCTCAGCTCTGACTCAGGCTTAATTAATCTATTACACTAGATTTCAAAATAACAGAACATAACAGAAAATAACAGAACAGAACATACATTGAGCAATCACAATTTAAATTATTTTTCATTTATTGATTTTATATAGAGAGAGGGGAGGGGAAAAAACATTGATTTGTTTTTCCACTTTTATTTTTCAATATATTTTATTGATTTTTTTTTACAGAGAGGAAGAGAGGGATGGAAACATCGATCACAGCTGCCTCTTGCACACCCACTACTGTGGATGTGTCCACAACCAAGGTACATGCCCTTGGCCGGAATCAAACCCAGGAATCAAACTGCAGGCTGATGCTCTATCCACTGAGCCAAACCGGTTTCAGCTGTTTTTCCACTTTTTATGCACTCATTGGTTGCTTGTATGCACCCAGACCAGAGTTGAAACCTGCAACCTTGGTATATCAGGACGAGGTTTTAACCCAGTGGTCAGCAAACTGTGTCTCGCGAGCCACATGCGGCTCTTTGGCCCCTTGAGTTTTTAGCAAAGCCATCTTAGGAGTACCCTAATTAAGTTAATAATAATGCACCTACCTATATAGTTTAAGTTAAAAAAATTGGCTCTCAAAAGAAATTTTGATCATTGTACTGTTGATATTTGGCTCTGTTGACTAATGACTTTGCTGACCACTGCTCTAACCAAGTTCAGCCACCAAGCTAGGGTCAAGCAATTGCAATGTTTTATTATCACAAAGGAAAGGTTATGTTCTGTTATTTTGAAATCTAGTGTAATATTTAAATATTAATTAAGCCTCAGTCAGATTAGGTCTCCAAAGTTCCTCTAAGCATTCAAATGTTAAGACTTACATATCATTTAACATTAATAGTTCTTACTTATTGATCATATATTATGTATTACTATGCATTTTCTAAAGTCTGTCTAAAGCTTGATAGCTTTTACAAATACTAAAATCCTGTTTTTACTTCTTATTCCAACTTTTTGAATTGTAAACACAAGAGCCTTGTTCGTGTATAGTTATTAA